TGACTTCTGGGTAAGAAGGCATGAGAAAGGGACTCGTGGAAGCCCAGGCTTGCCTTGGACCCTGTGGCAGGAAAGAGCATGGAGAAGGCGGGAAGAAGCCAAGTCTCTGGGCTGGGTCTGAAGAAAGAGTTAAGCCAAGAACTAACTGTTCTACTCACTTCCTTACAGAGGAGAGAACTCACCCCCAGAAAAAGAGGAGGCAAAGAGAGAACAGGGGCACCTCTAGATCAGGGTCATCCAGACAATATCACCTGGGTCTCCAGGGACATGAGGGAAGGAGAGCAGAACCAGTGGGGCAGGTGTCACGGGCACCCTCGCCGCAGGCAACTTGCAGCAGCCTGTGGTCAGCCAGGACAGGCTGGTCAGCACCATGGACAGGGCCCATCTCCTCCTCCTCCTCCCTCCTGCCCCACCTCTCCAGCCTGGGCCTCTCTGGCAAGCACCAGGCACTGCAGCAGCTGCCTGTGCCAAATTTTGGCCTGTTCGCCCTCCCTTCCCCTTCCCCCACTGCCTGACCTCAGTGGCCTCGTGTGTCATCTCTCCTCTCTCGGGAGCTGAGGCGACACACCTGAATTCTGGGAGGAGTTAAGGGGTGAGCCCGGCCTGAGAGGAGAGCACGGCAGTTGAGTTTGTTGGAAGGTGGGTCTGAGGGGTGGTGTAGGTGGAGACAGAGGAAGTGACATTCAGAGCCCACTACAATACAAGAGGCCCGGAAGCTGACCAGGAACGCTTTGAGGGTTCTCTTTGATCCCTACTTCTGCTCTCCTGGTTCTGACCTTTGAGGACAAGACAGGATAAATTTATCCCTGGTGTTGAGTTGCAGCTGTGGCAGTAAAACTTGCTCAGGCCCAAGTGAAGAGCGTGGGGACCACTGGTGGCTCCCCAGAGGATCTCGGGTATTCTGGGATCACACACATAACAGAGGAGGGACTTGGGCAGAGGTGGGTGCGTGACACTTACTGGTCATCGATGATGTGCTTGCAGGAGGTGGAGACGATGTAGCCAGCTGTGGAGGCCATGATGGCTTGGACGGAGGACACTAACCTGGGGAGACAGAGGGAGGAGTGGCAGGTGGGGAGGTGCGTGCCTTGACATCTCCTTTTCACTAGTAGTTATTTGCTTTGGGTTTGGTCACTTCTCAGGCCATTCCTGGCTCACCTCCCAAGACCGGGCTTTCCCAGATTCACCCACCCTACCACCACCACCTCCAGAGTCCTGAGTTGCTCCGCCACTGTCCCTCAGTTTGCCCCATTCCTGGTGGCCTTCCCCTTCCCTTGGCTTGTGAATACTGAGTGGCCTTCCTCTCAGGACACAGGGAGGTCACCCTGAGGTGAAACAATGCTGGGAATGTGTGGCTGAGAGCAAAGCCTATGCCCAGGAGGGGACGCCCAGGAGGGCAAGGGGAGCCTGTGCTGTTCCTGCCCCACTTGGCTGCCCAGTCACCATGCCACCCATTACTCGGGCCCCTGGCCCTGCAGTGAACCCAAATTCCTCCTGGCCACTTTCCCACTGTCTCCTTGACTGCCACGGAGCTCCCCTCCCGGTGATGGCCCTAATTCCAGGGTTGTAGAGAGTTCCACTGTTCACTCCTCTGTGCCTCGTCCCCAACACTCATCCTGATTCACACATGGTGCTCTTCCCCTTGTTCCCTGACATCTTATAGGAATGTTTTAGTCACATGCTGGCCCTGTTTGGGAGGTGGGAGGGTGGCTGGGAGAAGGGAAGAAAAGCAGTCTGAACACTAGTAGACCAGATGGCTGGTTTGGGGAGGTCTCCTGGGAAGGTGAGTAAGACCCCGAAGGAAGGGAGCTTGGCAGCAGAGCCCACTGACCACCGCCAGGCTCCCCGTCCCCACAGGGGCCAAGGGTGCAGGGAAGTGATGGGGTCCCTTCTGTCCCCATAAAGCCTGAGAAAGAGAAAGGGACTAAGCTGGGGAGGGGATGCCGTTTACCTGGCTGAGACAATGACCGCGTCGGCCTCCTCCCAGCGCAGCTGGGGCAGCCGCTGGAGCGTGTTCTTGGAGAGGAGGAAGAGTCCGGGGAACACCACCCCCCCAGCCACCATCGGGGTCAGCATGGTGGCTCAGGACTCGGGCAGGGAGACGAGCGGGTCAACAAGGGGCAGAGAGGCAGGGCTGAGGGGAGTTGGAGGTGGAGCTGGGATGCAGAGCCGGGGGAGGGAGGGAGAGGAAGGGGCACAAAGGGGACAGGGCGGGGACGGGATGGGACAAGGGAGCTGGACCAGAGGAAGAGAGAATGGGACTCTGGATCCGACTGGGGACACAGGGAGAGGGCTGGCCAGGCAGAGCAGGGAGCCCAAGGACGGGAGCAGGGAGCAGGAGAAAGCGGTGAGGGATGGGAAGAGGCGACAGGGGAGGACTTGGTGAGGACCGAGAGAGAGGGGACAGGAGGAGGAGGATGCAGCTGGGGGAGGGGAGGGAGAGCCGCGGCAGGTGGGGGGGTTACGTGGGGAGACTGGGAGGGCCCGAGGAGGCGGGCTGGGGGGAGAGGTGCCAGCCCTGAAAGGAGGGAGGGGGAGGGACGGAGCCAGAGGAGCGGCGGGGCGAGTGGTCAGCGGTCAGCACTGCTCTCCCGCCACCACCGCCTCCTCTCGGCTGCCGCCACAGTCCTTGCTGCCTGGCAGGGACGCGGCACATGGCATTATAGAGAGTTCATGCCCAGCCCCCTGCCCCCTCTGTGGGGAGGGGGAGGGGGAGGGGAAGCTGCCAGCCTGGGGAGGGCGGGGGAAGGGTGGGGAAATGATGGCACCGACCAGACACCAAGAAACCGGACCTGCAGCAGCGTCTCCCATGCAGCTCTGTGCCACAGCAGCGGCTGCGACAGAGATGGGGGGAGCAGGGAAAGAGGAAGGGGGAGGCCCTTAAAGAGACAGCAGCTGCGGCACAGGGGGGCTATTGGGGACAAGGGCCATGGAAGGGATGGCTCTTCTCGAGGGAAAGAAGGTGATCTGGGGCTCCCTGGCCAGCTGCGAGGGGGCTCTAAACCCCCATGATGGGCCTGACCCCATTTCCCATCAGCACTTTGAAGTGCCTGGTATTTCCTCCTCTGCCAATGCCTCCCAAGATGTGACTGTCAGTGGCCTGCCAGGGATCTCAGCTTAGGGGCCTCTACTCCTGCCAAAGAGAGGGTTCCCTGGGGAAGGGAGCTGCAGGAAGTGGTGCATCTCAACACAGAGTCCTTCAGACCCAGAGCCCCTGCTCCACCCCCAGGAGAGGGAGGAACCTCTGAGAAGCATGAAGCACCTTGTTTGTGTCCCCAACTCAGCTGCACGGCTGCCCCATGTCCTTATCTACTGCTGGAACAGTACCAGGTGGCTGTGCTTGTCCCCTTTCTACTGGTCAGGAAATGGTCCTAGGCACTGAGTGATGCTCCCAGGGTCACAAAGTTAAGAAATGGTGGGAACTCAAAAGAAAACCCACCTGGAGCCCAGGAGGCTCCGGCCACATTCCTCAGGCTGCCTGGCCTCCCCTGGCTCCCTAGGTGCCCACCGCTTTTTTTTGCTCCTGGTTCCCCTTCCTCTGCTACTTCACAGAACAGTCCAGTTTCAGAGAGGAAAAGTGTCTCAGGGGTTGGCTGGACAGAGTCCCTCATTCAATCACTAGGAAAGTAAGGTCCAGTGACTTGGTCAAAGTCAACTAGGCCAACTCAGAGCTGCTCCTCACTTTCACGTGGCCCCTCTGGAGTCCTGCCTTCTGTCCTGAACCAATGGTTCTGTGGATGTCTTCAGGACATGGCTCTTGCTACCCAAACCATACTTTGGTCTCCAGGTTTGCCCTGAGCTATGGCTCAATAATCAGGGCTACAGTTGGCCTTTCCCCCTCCCAAAGCCCACTCCTCTCCTAAAGAGGCAAAGGCTGGAATTTGCAATTTTGTGCTGCCCTCTAGTGGCCTAGGAAAGACCAGGACAAGTCTCACCTTAGGCGGGAGTTGGAAACAGTTTTAGAGACAATTTGTAGACTTAGTTCCTGACCTCAGGGCTTCACTTAAGAAAAAGGGGCCCAATTTCCTGACCTTTATTATATTCTAACCAATTTTCATAGCGACTTATGCAGTACATGGAGTGGAACCCAGCAGCACTTTACCACCAAGCTACATCCCCAGGTGGTGGTATTCTCAGTTCATTGAAGAAACTGAGGTTTAGAAGTTTAAAAAACAAAAACTTGCCAAGATAAAACAGCTATGAAAATTGGTTAGAAGCTGGATTTTGAACCAATGTTTGCTTAACTCCAGAGTCAAAAATAAGCAAAACTGCAAAAGGAACTCAGGAGGACACCAAAACTAAGGACCACAGACTTGGTCAAGCAACTGTGGTTTTACCTTGGATGAGGTAAAACAAGGGTTTGTGCTTTTTGCATGTGTGATTTTTTTTTTCTGCCAGGCATTCACTTGGACACCCTAATGAATTCTGCCTTCTGCATACTCATTGTCCTAACTATGGTTTGAAATAGCTCATGTTTTGTCAAATGGATCATAAATTTGCAGCTCGAGGGCTCAACAGATCCCACAGGCTTATTTATCTATTTGCACTCAGGATTAAAGCTAGGGACCCTTTGCCATTGAGCTACATCCCCAGCTTTTTAATTTTTTTTTGCAACAGGATCTTGCTAAATTGCTTAGGGCCTCAGTCTCCACAGCTGCTGGGATTACAGTACGTGCCACAATGTCAAGGCCACAAACATGTTGTTTCACCAATATGGTGTTGTCAGCAGAGTACAGGATTTTCTTAATTTAATTTCTAATTTTTTGTCTATGTTCCAAGATTGCCAAATTTCACAGAAAAGCTCGACTTTGCCAGGGACAGTGGTGCATGCTGTCATCCCAGTGGCTTGGGAGGCTGAGACAAAAGGATCCAGAGTTCAAAGCCAGCCTCAGCAAAAGCAAGGCACTAAGCAACTCAGTTGCTAAATAAAATACAAAATAGGGCTGGGGATGCGGCTCAGTGGTTGAGTGACCCTGAGTTTAATCCGAGGTCCACCCACCCCTCCCCCCAAAAAAAGGAAAAAAAAAAAGGAACGCTCAACTTCTAGCCTGGGGATATAGCTCAGTGATAAAGCACTTGCCTAAAATATTTGAGACCCTACATTTGATCCCCAGTAGCAAAAAAAAAAAAAAAAAAAAAAAATCTCAACCTCTTTTAAGAAAGAATCAGAACAGGTAACATAATGATTTGTTTGTGTTTTGTTTTGCAGTACATGGAGTGGAACCCAGCAGCACTTTACCACCAAGCTACATCCCCAGCACTTTTATTTTTTAAATTTTGAGACAGGGTTTCAAAGTTGCCCAGGGTGGCATCAAACTTATGATCCTCCTGCCTCAGCCTCCCAAGTCACTGAGATTATAGGTACATCACATCACCCAGCCTCCAAAATGTCTTGCTGGAGTTGAGCACCCGCTATGGCCATTGGATGGAGTCCTCCAGCTCAGACATCTTTGTGTTATTTTCAGGAATTTGCAATCCCTCCTTGAGAGATGCTAATTCACATGACTCTCACCTAAACATCTCCATGAAGAAAGGAAAGGGAGTGTCATAATTATTAAACCCATTTTGAAGTGAGGAATTTGAAGCTCAGAGGCTAAAGGACTTGCCAAAGATTCCATAGCCAGTGTTTTTTTGATCTGGCTTGAACTCAGGGGCACTCAACCACTGAGCCACATCCCCAGCCCTATTCTGTATTTTATTTAGCAACTTTGCTTAGTGCCTTGCGGTTGCTGAGGCTGGCTTTGAACTGGCTATCCTCCTGTCTCAGCCTCCCAAACCACTGGGATTACAGGTGGGCGCCACAGTGACCAGCCATAGCCAATTTCTTTTGTTTTTGTTTTTGGGTACCAACCATTGAATTCAGGGGCACTTGACCACTGAGCCACATCCCCAGCCCTATTTTGTATTTTTATTTAGAAACAGGCTCTCACTGAGTTGCTAAGCACCTCACTTTTTGCTGAGGCTGGTTTTGAATTTGCGATCCTCCTGCCTTAGCCTCCCGAGCCACTGGGATTATAGGTGAGCAGTGTCTTTTTGTGTGTGTGGTGCTGCAGATTGAACCCAGATCCTTGTGCATGTGAGGCAGGTACTCTACCAGCTGAACTATATCCCCAACCCATGGCCCATGTCTTTTGCCTCCTAACCCCGAGCCGCATCAGATCCCACATTCTCCTTCTGCTTCCGCCACTACCTAGTCCTGAAGTGAAGAGATCAGCTCCAGCAGCCCTGGCCCCCAGGAAAGATACTCTCACCCTGGTCTTCTTACTTGGATGCCACCAAAACAGCCTCTCTTGCCTCCATCTGCAGTTTGGTGTAGTTCTGCAGGCCCCAACGGAGGATAGCGAAGAATACTGGGAAGAAGACGCAACCTAGTACAAAGAGCAGGGCCATGCCTGTCTGAGGTAGAGAAGGGGAAAAGAAATGGTTATGAGAACTCCTTAACCCTGCAGTGGTCCATGAGATCCACTCAGCTGCAGCCACTGAAAATCATTGCGTTTCTAACATCCTTCATCCGGGGTAATTGAACATCCTGGTGTTTGGTTTTTTTTATGTTTCCTTTTGTTTAAACCTAGTATTATTTCATTCATTTTCCCTGCCATCCCTGAAGCTGACCTACACCTCCTAGTCCATCTCACACCTTAAAATGGCTTCTCTTTCTCCTCCACCGCAGTGATGTGCCTGCCCTTTCTTAACTCCACCCTGATCATCCTCCGTTCCTATGTCACCCTTGACTCCTCCGAGGGGCTCAGACTTCTCACAGGGTCTCACCTCTCAGCGACAAGGTGGGAGGGCTGAGAGGGAGGTTGATGTTTCTCCTCAGCACCCAAAACTTGGGAAAAGGAAGGGAGGGGGTGTTCAAATTGTCAAAACACTTGAAACTTTAAAATAACATAAAAAAAAAGAAAGCCAAAGTGATTTTTACCCCATAAAAACGAAAAAAAGAAAAAGGAAACCCTGAAAACACGGATATTTACATAGATATTATTTTTGCCTGGCAAAGCCTCCCCTCCCACCCGCTCCGAGGAGGAGAGGAGTGGGGAAGGCGCAGGAGGGACGCAGGTGGTCGGGGCCTGCCATCCTCCATCCCTGGAGTGCTTCTGAAGGGACCTTCTCAGGCTACAAGGAAATGTCAAACTGCAAGGGCACGAGGCTGCTCAGCCGAGGCAGTTGGAGCCACAGGAGCATCACCCTCCCATTGGCCAACCTCTTGACACAGGTGCCCTATCGTTTATTTCTGCTGGGGCGGATGTGGGCAGGGCGTTCTACCCATTCTGTGTAGAATTAGCCAATTAGAGTTCGTTGATGACTTGATGGACAGCACATTTCAGAGGCGGAGCTGGAAGAAAAGGAATAGGAAGAAGAGGGAGAATAAGAAAGGTCTGTTATTGCTTTAAAAGGTAGTAGAGAAGCCTATTGCCGCATCTCATGTCTCTAATCCCAGCAGCTCTGGAGGCTGAGGCAGGAGGATCTGAAATTCAAGGACAGCCTCAGCAATTTAGTGAGGCTCTAAGCAATTTAGTGAGACCATGTCTCAAAATCAAAGAAAGCAAAAACAAACAGCCTCGAGATGTGGCTCAGTGGTTGAAGTCTCTGGGTCCATTCTGTGGTAGTGGTGGGGGAAGGTGTGGGGCAGTAGAGAAACTAGCCCTGGAGCACCTCAGCGACAAGGGAGGCTGAAGCAGGAGAATTGCAAGTTCAGCCTGGCAATTTAGGGAGACCTTGTCTCAAAAGAAAAAAAAAATATGTAAAGGACTTGGATGTAGTTCAGTGGCAGTGCACTCCTCAGTATCGCAGGTAAGTGAATACAAAAATTAAAAATGCTAAGGAAATTTTGGCTCTTCATTCCCTGAATAATGGTGAGCAGAACCTCTGTGGGCCTCGGTATCTTCCTCTGTGAGATTGAGATCATAATGATGACAGCTAATTATATTGCATTTACTGTGGGCCAGACTCTGATCTGAGTGCTTAAAAACATGAAATCATTTTTTCCAAATAACCTTGTGGGTAGGGATTATTATTGTATCAACTTTACAGTTGGGAAAACAGTGGTACAGAAAGGCTTGGTACCTACCCCAAGGTTACAGTCAGGAAGGGAATGAGGTACAGTATTTCTTTCAACCATATTTTCTGAATCTGTTGGTCTCTATAATGTTAAGCAGATATAGGAAACTCAAAAACTCATTATCCTAAAGGAATTAAAGGGTTTTTGTTTGTTTTGCTGCTGGGGATTGAACTTATTTTATGAATTTTTTTGGGTTTTTTTGTTATGTTTTTGTTTTTTTTAAGGAGGAAAAAGATAGTCCTGAATACAATTTAAACATCTTAATTCATATTTTTAGAATTTTTGTCTGTTAACAGTTCTTGCTACTTTTTTAATACTTATTTTTTGGTTGTAACTGGACATAATATCTTTGTTTTATTTATTTATTTTTATATGGAGCTGAGGTTCAAACCCAGGGCCTCCCACATGCCAGGTGAGCGCTCTGCCACTGAGCCACAATCCCAGCCCCCAGTTCTTGCTACTTAACTACTCAACCTCCACCTTGGGCCTCTGAAGATTAAAGATTAAGCCAAGAGCAAGGTAAAGTTATTTAAGATGAGGCCTCTGGTTGCCTAACCAGTGATCAGTGTCCAGTCTCACTTTTTTCCTTTTGAATGTGTCCATTTAAAAACTACATTTCCCAGCTACTCTTGAGAGAAAAGTTCTTTTGTGTGTGTGTGTGTGTGTGTGCGCGCGCGCGCCCACGCGCTCACGCATGGGGGTGGGAGGGTGGGTATTAGGGATTAAACCCAGGGTGCTCTCTCACTGATCTACATCCTCAGCCCTTTTTATTTTGAATAGGATTTTGCTAAGTTGCTAAGGCTGGCCTTGAATTTGTGATCCTCCTACCTTAGCCTCTGGAGTTTCTAAGATTACAGGTGTGATCATTGTGCCCAGTGAAATCTCCTTTTTAAAAAGGCAGCACAGCTCACAAAGAAAGGAATCCAGATGGACTTTAAAAGTTAGGACAAGAGCCCAGTGGGTGGTGCACACCTGTGGTTCCAGCTAGTCAGAAGGCTGGGCAGGAGTTAGATCTCAGGAGTTTTAACCAACACAGTGAGATGATGTCTAAAAACAGAGAAAGGAAGGAAGGGAGGGAAGGGGAGAGGAAAAGAAAGAGGAAAGAGAAAAGAAAGAAAGAAAAAGATTTCCAGAGATACTTTCTCTTTCATGACTCAGCCCACACACACTGAAAGATAATACTGAGTTGGGATTTGAAACCAGGCCAACCTGTCTCTGGTGTCTGCCCTCCTCTGTGCAGGTTCATTGTGAGGATTAAATAGAGATAATGTACATAAATGACTTCCCACAGCATTCAGTTACTATCATCGCGAGCACCCAGAAGGCTGTGTGCTAAAATCTCTCTACCCTCTCATTCCGCCTTCCCTACCACCTTCCAAACAATGCTCCCATTTTACTGCTGAGAAAACTGAGGCTGGGAGAGCTAGGCGACTTGTCCTAGGTGGCACAGTCAATGGCAGAGCTATGACTGCTGCCTCCCAGGTTGGGAGGGGAGGGCAGGTGGAGGAAAGCCCAGGCAGAGGCAGGAGTAAGTGGGCCAGCCCCCCTCTGGTGCTGAGGGGTACTGGTGTTGCCCTGGATGTGTGGCTTACCCTGGAACACAGCGTGAGGGAGGGTCGAGAGCTCTGGGGCCATGAGCTGGGAAAGGTCAGGTCCGCGTTTCACTGGATTCTGGCTCCCCTGCAGTTCTTTCTCCTGTCGTCAGTATCTTCTTGTTTCAAGCCAGACAGTCCAAGGCTGCGCAGGCATGCCTGGGAACTAAAGGGTGAGGGGAAACAGTGGTCTGCCTGTTCGCTTATTTATTTTTTCTGTACTGGGGATTGAACCCAGGGACGCTCTACCTTGAGCTTCATCTCCAACCCTTTTCTTTATTTAAAATTTTAATCTTATTTTAAAAATATTTTTTAGATGTTGATGGACCTTTATTTTATGCATTTATTTATATGCAGTGCTGAGAATCAAACCCAGGGCCTCACACATGCTAGGCAAGTGATCTACCACCACTGATCCACTGATCTTTCAGCCCCAGATACTGTGTGTGTGTGTGTGTGTGTGTGTGTGGTGCTGGGGATTGAACCCAGGGCCTTGTGCATGGGAGGCAAGCACTCTACCAACAGCCCGATTTTAATCTTATTTATTCATTTGTTATTATTATTAGGTACTGGGAATTGAACCCAGGGGTGCTTAACCACTGAGCACATCCTCAGCCCCTTTTATTTTTATTTGAAACAGGGTCTCACTAAGTTGCTTAGGCTGGCCTTGAACTCGAGTTCCTCCTGCCTCAGCCTCCTGAGCCATTGGATTTCAGGCATGTACCACTGCATCTGGGAGAAAGAGTGGTTTAGAGTAATGGCTTTCAACTTTTTAAAAGTGACTCCCCCCCCCCCCGCACCCAGAATTACCTTTTATTTTATGAACTGAACTGAGAGCAAACTTTACCACCACTACTACTACTACTACTACTACTACTACTACTATTATTAGTTCTGGGGATCAAATCCAGGGCCTTGAGTATGCTAAGATATGCTCTACCACTGAGAGTGGAAAATTCCCTCCACCTGGGGAACTTTCTCTCAGTACTGCCTGGTCCTTATGTGCAGCCTTTTGTGTGGTTCCCCCAAATGCTGGTCATGATTTCACAGCCCACTAGTGGGTCACAACCCATGTAGGTCAGCCTTGGGTTGACAGCAGTGTTTCTCAACTTTTTCCCCCCATTACTGCTCTTTTAAGAAGACTTGAATATATGTGTGTGTGTGTGTGTGTATTTTTTCCTCCTAATTGCTGCCCATTGTGTTTTATTTATTTATTTATTTTTATTGTTTTAGGCACTGAGGATTGAGCCCAGTTCTTCACACATGCGAGGGGAGCACTCTACCACTGAGTCACATTCCCAGCCCCCATCATGAAATTTTAACAACACAGATGTTCTGTACATCTGTTTATGTATATCTGTGCTTCATATGTTAAAGAGTAAGAATATTTTGCCCCAAGAACCAATTTTTAAGGGGTACTAGGGATTGAACACAGGGGCACTTAATCATTGAGCCACATCCTCATCCCTTCTTGTTTTGAGACAGGGTCTCACTAAGTTACATAGGGCCTTGCTAGTTGCTGAGGCTGGCCTTGAACTTGGGATCCTCCTACCTCAGCCTCCTGAGTTGCTGGGATTACAGGCATGCACCATGGTGCCTGACCCAAGAACCAGTTTGTGCCCTCTGAGGGGCAATGTACCCCAGTTGAGAATTCAGGAGCAACAACACTCTGACAAACATTTTGAGTCCCCCTTACACACACTATCCCAATCTCCAATGAGATGTTTCCATTTTTCAAATGCATAAGTCGAGACTCAAAAGTATTTTTATTCATTATTGAAATGACTGATCATGAGAATGGGAATCGAAAACTTACCAATATCCTCGCTTAGCTTCTTATCTTCTCCAAACCTTTGTTCCCTGATGTGCAAAATGATGGAATGGATTCAAAGAAGTGTTTCCCGAACCTCAGTTAATGGTTTTGTTTTGGTTTTTGTACCATTTGACCTAATAATAGCAAATAATTATACAACATCGACAGATGCCAGGCACCAATCTAAGCCCTTTACATATATTATCTAATAATAATAATATATTATCTAATCATAATAACTTTAGAAATACCTTCCCTGTACAGATGAACAAATTGAGGCACAGAGAGGCTATGTGACTTGCCCAAGGTCACACAAGTAGTTAGTGGCAGAGACAGGACTTGAACCTAGTAGTCTGAATTCTTGGGTTCCCACTTTTAACCATGTACTCTAAAAGGATACTTTTTTTTTATTGGGGTGGAACCCCCCACAGGTACTTTACTACCAAGATACACACCCACCTTTTCTTATTTTATTTGAGACAGGGTCTCACTAAGTTGTCCTGGCTGGCCTTGAACTTCCGATTCTCTTCCCAGGGCTTCTCTGGGTGCTGGAGATCACAGGGGTGCATCACTGTCACCGGGTCTAACTAAAAGGAAAGTTTTTAATCACAATAAGAAATAGAATGCTTGTAAATAGACAAGTAACATATATACATATATAAATTGGACAGGCCATAACCTTCTATCCAGAAGATGTCCCCACTGCACATTCTGAGCTGGAGGCTGCTGTCTCTTGGTTAAAAGAAAGAGAAAAAGATAAGCACAGATAGAAAGGTGTTAAGAGGCCCTGGCAGCAGAAGGAGACTTTCTCCTGGAGCCATCTTAAAAGTGTTGAAAGGGAAGTGGATGCCGAACTGCTTGTACCACCTAAAATAAACCAAGATGGGATGCACTCTGTGCACACTGCACCTTGTCGGGTGTTCTAGAAGTGTGTGGGCTCCCCTGTGAAGAAAGGGAGATGGTACTAGCCAGTCCTGGCCTGGGAGTGCAGCCAGAAAGCTTTTGGCCACCACCGCATGTAAAGGGGAAGTGTGGGGTGGCACTGCCATCTCCCCTCTCCCACCGGCTCCCCACACCAGTCTCTCACCCCATCCTGTCCTGGCAGACCTGCCACCGGTTTACCTGGGTCCCTGTTGCTTCAGGCTGCTGTGCTCACCCTCTTTACCTGGGCACAGCAGGGCCTCTGCCCTGCGGGCGCACGCTGTGATATCATCACAGGCTGTGAATAAGTAAACAATAAGTAGTCAGAGTGGCCTGTTCCCCACCTGACACCAAGAGAAGGCCCAATTCCCCCCACTCGTGCTCTGGGGAGAGTCTTGGCCTGGGTGCCTGGGTATTTATTATTTAGTACTTTTGTTTGTACCTGTCCCAGGTGAGGTACAATTCCAAACGATTCCAGTCCAAAAAAAGCACAACAGAGGAGAAGGAGACACACAGCAAGGGCCCAAGTCCCCATATGTTGGCTGTGTGATCTTAGCCAAGTTGCAGTGCCTTTCTGAGCCCCTGTTGTGTATATACACAAAGTCCCATTGCCTGGACCTGGATCCTGGTTCTGCCCTCTCACTAGCCAAGAGTCCTTATATAAGTGACTCACCTTCTTTGAGTCCCTTGGACTTCTTATCTATAAATGGGGACAATAACAGAGCTGCTACAAAGGGTTGCCCAGATGATTAAGTGAGAAGATATGCATAAAGCATAGTTCTTAGGTATCCATTGTGATCTCCATTAATTGTTTTGTTGTTGTTTTGCAGTTCTAGGGATCAAACCCAGGACCTTGCTCATATTAGGCAAGTACTCTACCACTGAGCTCTCTGATATTTTTTAATGGTCTCTTGTTCCATGCTAGGTACTTTACAAACCCTTTCTCTAACCAGCACAAATTCTGCCAGCTTCTATGGAAGTCCCCACTTTACAGGTGAGGAAGACTGAGGCTCAGTGAGGTCAGTTGATCTGCCTGAGGTCACACAGGCACAATGTCAGAACTAGATTTCCAATAGCCAGATCTTGCTTGATTCTAAAGTGTCTGTTTTCCCAAGTGGGCCTCATTCTTTCCCATTTATAAAGTGGAAATAATGGCTGCTGTCACCCAGGTCTACAGGGAGGATTAAATAAGATAAGGTCTGCAGAGAGGCCTCTATTGATGCTGGCTCAGCTCTTTGGCCCCCCAGGGTAATTACCAAGCACAGGCCTTTCATTTTTATAATCAGGAGGCTGGTGAGCCTAATCTCTAGGAGACAATGCTGCCTGCTAGCCATAGGAGGGGGCTGAAGGGTTAGATCAAAATCAGATCTGCGGGTGCTCTTCCCAGGCCCAGGCCCAAGTCTGACCAGGCTTCTTTCATCTCTGGCCTTCTCTGTGGCCAGTCTCACACCTGGCCCAGGATCATCCAGAGCATGTCTCCCTTCCCTAAGGGCAGCACAAAAAAACCTGTGATACTATCCAACATCCCCAGTTTTAACCTTCAGGGAGAGGGACACTGATGTTTATCCAGCTATTGTGAAGTCAGTTTCTCTCGCTGCCTCCCACAGATTACCATCTGATGTGGGTAGAAGTGGGACTTTGGCAGAGTGGGGTGAATACGTCACCCCTCCCACTAGCCTGCCTGGCAACAAGGCCTGGTGCACTGTCCACCTTCCTGCATAATGTATGAGCCAACAGTAGGAACAGAACACCATTAGCAGTGAGTCTGACCACTGCAGACCATGGCTGTGTCCAGAACCCTCGCCAAAGCTGACGTGTCTGTTGGCTCCGGCTGAAGAGAGGGTGGGGATATGTATCACCAGAGGCCTTTCCTGTGGCCAAGGTGGGAACTGGCCTCATCCTGATCCTCGGGGACTCTATCAAGTAAGAAGACAGCCCCGAGAAGGCAATCAGACCCTGTCTTCAATCAACAATGGTGACATGGGGAGAGTCCTGTTTTCTGGGCTCAACCCCCCCAGGGGTCTAGGGTGGCAGTGGGAGTGGTTGGGAACCCCTTGGTGTGGTTGAAGGTAGGAGGGGCGATTTGGAACCCAGGGATGCAGTGCCTGGCAATTTCTGTGGCTGCCTGATGGCACAGGAAACCCCCTGGGACAGCAGCTGTGTACATCAGGGTGAAGAGCGAAAGGGGGAATGGTGTGGCATTGCAGCTGGGGGGAAACACCAGGCTGCAGCATTGCGTAGGAAGTCAGGGGTCTCCGTGGGAGGTGCGCTTGTGTGTGTGCAATCAAAGGCCAGGAGTGAGAGGGGGATCCTTGAGGGCCTTGCCAGCCAGGGCAGCCCTGGCCCCCGGATGACAGCACCAACACTTCTTCCTTCATGGACAGAGTTGGATTCGGGTCATTCATAGAATCAGTGAGTATTAATTACTGTGGGATCCCCGAGGCTAGGCCAAGTGCTTGAGCTACAGAGATGAATCAGACCAGGCCCCAGCCCACAGTCTAACTGGGGAGCCAGACACTGAAGTGGAGAAATCAAATACCTCAAAGTGATGCTTGACTAGCAGCACCTATCTAGGGCTGTGGGAACGTCAGAGCCCAAAGCATCCACCTCCTCCTGAGGTTGGCAGAAAGAACCCACTGAGGCACAACTGAGCACAAGCTTGAGGGATGAGGAAGAGGTTGGTCATGAGGAAGTGAAAGGAAAGGTGTGATAGGCAAAGGGAACAGCGTCTGCAAAGCCGCAGAGCTGTAAGACCCTGAGCACTAACTCAGGAACCTTCAACAGATCTTATGAGGAGCTTTAAAAGAACGGACTGGGCATCAAATCTGATTTGTTTTACACATATTATCTGATTCCCCTCCTGCAGTAGAATGCCAGCAACGTGAAGACAGGAAATTGGCCTCATTGTCAGAGCTCCAGGACCCACAGTGGTGGCTTTATCCCGGATCTAGTAGGAAGCCTTTGGAAGATTGAAAGCAGAAAAGTAACAAGATCTGATGTGTGTGGTAGGAAATAACTTTGACAATGATGTGAATGCTGAAAAAAAAAATAGGTGTAAGAATGGAGAAATGAGGTCAGGTTGGTAAAATATTGATAATTCCACGCAATTAACAAGTAGTTTTGATTTGCACAATATTCCTGTGAATCAGGTGGCTCCCCCTTTTGTAGATGAGGAAATAGACTCAGCAAGTCTCATTAACTTGGGCGAAGTCACACAGCAAATTGGTGCAGTAGCCCAGGGTTTCAGTCCTTCCTTTGCAGCACCCAGAATCCAGGGCGGCACCTCCAACGGCCAGCGCCTGAAGGAGATCCGACCTAGGCAGGTGACAGTTCGCTATTCCGGTTCAGTTCCAGCGGGAAAGCCCAGAGGATGGCGGTTCAGAACCCTTGGCCGAAAATCAGGCGGGAAAAGCTAGGCGGGAAGAGGGTGTTTGAGTCTCGGCGGCCGCCGTAGGCGCGGCACTCTGGTACCTATGGCAACAGCAAGAAGCAGCGCAAGGTCCCGGGCGGTGCTGGCGCCACGGCGGATTGGACCCAGCGCTGGCGCGGAATCTGTGAACTGCCGGCGGCTCCGAGGGTGCAGGTGATGGGGATGGGTGGCCCGAGGGAGCCCGGGTGTGGGGCCGCGGAGGGGCGTGACCTGGGCCTGGCTGGGGCCTGGGAGGAAGGCGCCGCCCCTGCATCCCCGGACCACCCACCACGGTCCAGACCGGAGCCGTCTCTGGGCCTCAGTTTCCCCACACGGGAAATGGGAGGAGGAGAGGGCACCCGGGCCAGCGGCCCCTCTCAGCCTCTGAGCCCAGGTCCTTCTTTTTCTCTGCAGCTCCTGGAGTGACTGGCGCAGCCTGCCCCATGGACGTGAGTCCAGGCCCCTTCCCTACCCTGCTGCGGCCCCCTCCGCGCCTCAGCTCCCCTTGACTTTGCTCGCCTCCAGCTAGGGCTGGGGAAGGAGCTTTTTACCCAGCATGGACCCTTCCAGCTTAGGACAAGAGCTGGGAGAAAATCAGGGTCCTGGATGGACTAACAGCTGGAGGGCACATTTCCTGTGTTCCCGGCAAGATAAAGAGTCTACCAAGTCATCTGGGAGAGAGGGTGAAGTAGTGGCAGTGGGGTCAGAGATGGGGTCTGTTTGGAGAAGCGAACTGAAGAGTTTTTAAGTCCTGGGAGATTCTAGAAGTATTGGATGGCGGTGAAATGGGGACGACAAGGGAAAAGGCAGGTTTGGGGGACAAGATGGTGAGTCAAGGGATCATCCAATTGACTCTTTCTCCCTGGTCTAATGGTTGCTCCTCCCCCAGCCACCCCTGTGTCCTCCTGTGTTCCTGCTGCCCCCCCCACCTCCTTGTCACCCCCCTTCCTCTGCTTGTCCAGGCCTCCTCTAGCCCATGGGATCCAACCCAGGCTTCTGCCAGCAGCCCTCCCCTGCTGCTGCCCATTCCTGCCATCGTCTTCATTGCCGTGGGCATCTACTTGTTGCTGCTGGGCCTAGTGCTGCTGACTAGGCACTTCCTGCTGGTGAGGGGGTCGTGGGGAATAAAGGGTGGGTTCTGGAAAACGGGATGCTAGTCAATCTGCCCCTCATCTGCAGACTTTTACTGTGAGTTCACCTTCACCCTATAGTCCCTGCATGGATCCTTTTTGTGGGACCCGGAGTCCCTCCTCCCTGTCCCCAGGCCATCCTTATTTCGCCCCCTCCCTATCCCTACCTACCTGCTCTGCTGCTCCCGGGATCCTGAGCCCTCCCATCTCCTAGGCCCAGGGCTGCTGCACAGACTGCAGCTCCCCCTGCAGGAAGAAAGGTGCCTTACAAGACTGTTGCTGGACCTGTGCTGAAGCCTGTGACTTCCCTCTGCCCAGCCCAGGCCGCTATCTGGATGCCTGCTGCCCCCAACCCAGCGAAGCTGTGAGTTCTCACCCTGCCCCGCAGAGCTCTGATCTAGGGATGATCTGTGCCTTTATTGTCTCTGTTCAACCACATTCGTTACTGAGCACCAACTCTAGGTGAGGCACGGTTCAGGTATTGAGCTATGTGAAGACAACATAACAACACATCAGGTCCTGAGGAAAATAGGGCAACCACCAGGGAAAGGTGATCTGTGCAACATGCACAGCACATAATCAACACTTCCGAAAATGGTAGTTAAAAGGAAAAATAGCTACGCCAGGCACAGTGGCACATGCCTGAAATCCCAGCAACTCAGGAGGTTGAGGAAGGTGGATTGTAAGTTTGAGGCCAGCCTCAAGAACTTAGTGAGACCCGTCTCAAAAAAAAGTTTTTTAAAAGGGTCTGGGAACTCGGTGGTAGAGCACTCATGGGGACTGAAAAAACAATAAAAAAGGAAAAATAGCTCACAGAGCACCTGAGAGTCATTGAGTGAATATTATATTCCAGAGAACACCACTTTATTGGCATTATTATTTTTCCTAGAAACCCTGAGATCTAGGTATGTATTTTAATTTTAATTTTTAATTGATACATACTAGTTATGTGATTTGGGTATTTATTTATTTGTTTTTGGTAGGGGGTTGAACCAAGGGGCTCTTAACCACTGAACCATGTCCCCAACCCTTTTTTATATTGTATTTTGAGACAGAGTCTCACTGAGTTGCTTAGGGCCTTGCTAAGTTACTGAGGATGGCTTTGAATTTGTGGTCCTCCTACCTCAGCCTCCCAAGCCAATGGGATTACAGGTATGTGCCGCCACACCTGGCTAGTTGGGTATTTTAAAAAACTTATATATATATGTTTACAAAAATATTACAAAAAAGTATTATTTACAAAGCACACATGTAAAACCACAAAATATAAATCACTTTATAAACCAATTCTCAAATCCAAAGTGGCTACATTTTGTGTATGTCCCTCATATGCTAATATCCAGTACTATTACTACTGCACCTTACTATTATTTGGCAAAAATGGAGTCACACCATATAGACCATGTCACCAAAACTGCTACCTGCCCTTTAAACTTGACATGATACCTTGGCCGCCTCTCCATGCCTGAACATGTAGGTGGATAAGTATTATTATGCCCTTTCTGCGGGGGGGGTGGGGGTAAACTGGCTTGGGGAAGTTGAATGGCTTTTCAGTGTTACCCAGCGAAGCCTTGCTTAGAAAATTGCTCCACAGTCCTAGCTGCGGCAGAATCCTCAGGGGAGAAGCCTGGCTCATCGAAGACAAGCCATTTTTACATTTGTGGGTTTAAAGATACTAAGTTTAGTGATCGACCACCGTTTTAGACAGTGATATTTTGAGCTCAGAGAATTAGACAGCAAAGCTTCTGCCCTTGGAGCAGTGACCTTCTCTAGGAGGAAGTGGGGGATAAAAGAACAAGCCCCAGCAAAGTCAAAACTTGGGCTGACTGGGCTTGCTGCAAATTCCTGGCAGATGTTTTGAGTTTCAAAATAAACTGTGGGACAAGGAGCTCTCCTCTTTCAAATAATCTGCTTCTGATTCCCCAGGGATAGCCAGGAGTAGGGCCCCAGCATTACTGATGAGAGGGAAAGGGGAAGAAAAAAGACGACCTTGGGTTCTATCTAGAAACTCCTATCTTATAGGAGATGCCCAATTATAAAGTGAGTTGTGGCCCCCTGTCCTGGGGACACAGTCCCCTTGCCTGTCTGTATGCATGAGGTAAACTGACAGGGAAGCATGTCTTCCTTAGGAGAGAGGGTGGGGTGAGATGTACTGTAAAGAAGGACTGGGTCCCCCCACCTGCCAATTCAAGGCTGTAGGATTGGCAAGGCTCCAGACCTGGAGACTTTAGGGCCTGAACCTCTCCGGCTTCTGCTGGAGTTAGGCAGGAAGGGATCTAGAAGAGCCAAGGGCAGGCAGGGTCATCCTGTCCTTGAGCTCTTTCCTCAAAGTACACTGCAGTCCCTGTGTTCGCTAGTTTCCTTATAGTAACAATGACAGCCACAAAGGTGACAGAGCTCTGCCTGTATTACAGTTGTAGACATTTAAGCTCACAGAGGCTTAAGTGACTTGCCTGAGGTCACACAGCTGGGCCAGCCAGACCACAAACCCAGGGCTCTTTTCCTTTCTCAGGAAAAACCTGCCTGCCATGTTGCTTTCCCTGGCAAATGGTGAGGATCTCATCCTTTCATTTAAAAATTCATCAAAATATTTATGAAATCACTGTTGAGGCTTTGTGCTGGACCCCAGGGGCTCAGCAGAAACAACACAGACAAGGTCCTGGCCCTCCCAGGTCTTACATGGACAGAGAGAAATAGGCAATTACAGTAGAGTGTAAGGAGGGTATGATATGTGCGTGATCAGAAGCAGGTGGGGGAGTTAAAGGGAAAGCCACTCACTCAGTAGGTGTGGAGTGGGACTGTAGTTTGTGACCTTCTAGTGAGCTCTCACATGATTTTGATCCACACCAGTGTTAAGAATTACTGTTAAGGGGAACCAGAACTACAGTGGTGAGAATGCTCCTATCAAGTACGGGCTCAGTGCTTCCCAGTGACTCTCCAAGTGACCCTGTGAAGCAGGTGCTGTATTGATTTTAGAGATGGAGAAACTGAGGTTCAGAACATGAATTAGCCAAGCTGAGATTGAAGCCTGGGCCTTTCTGAATTTCGAGCCTGAACTGTAACCTGTAAAATGATGACTGGTCCTCACGAAGACCAAGGGAAATTCCAAAGTGAAAGAGCCTAGTTCTAGAAATGCAAGGGTTAAAAGTCTTGTGGAGTCCTTGTTTAATGTACTTAAACAGCAGATTCCTTCCAGAAGCCACATGGCTGCTTATGAGAGTCAAGAAACCCATTAGCCAGTTATTAATGACTGGATCTAAACCCTTCAGTGCACAGAGCCAAGAAATACTTTTAATACCCTGTTTCTGAGGTAAGGGCAGTGTAGTTGCTCTCAGCCACCAGCTCTGTGTACAGAATGATGGTGTGGTCCTCAAAACCCACAGAGCCAACTTCATCCCCAAACTGGGACTCCCCAGAGACACCCCCAAACCACACCCTCATAAACACACAAAAACCATTTCTCCCTTCCACCATGACACCTCTAGCCCGCTCCCTCTGTAGACATTAGCACAGCCCAATTCAGACCCCTCTGCCTGCCATTGGCAAATCCCCTCCCCTTGCTGGAACCCTAGTGACACTGATCTCACCAGTCATCTGACACCGCACCCCGAAACCTCAGCTGTTGAAAAGGTCATTCCCCTATTCCTGGCTTGGCCCGGTCTCTGATTGAACAGTGCAACTGTGACTGTTACTCCTCAAGGAGCCAATCTTCTGTCACACAGCCATCCTGGGTGTGTCCCACTGCAGCCATTTGGCCTGCCTCCAGTCCATGCCTGGGGCAGTTGCAGATCATCCTTGTCCCAGGCAGAGGAGCAGTAAGTGGAGGGGTCAGATCTCCCTATCTGTTAGGACATGATGTTCCTTTTCCCTGACCAACAGACCTTGTTTTCCTGGAGCCTAGAAGCCCTCTTATTTTTGCCTAAAGAGGGAAAAATGAAGTGTTTAGATTCATCCATTCATTCAACATTTTTCTGCATGTTGGACACCTGCCAAGTTCCCTACACTGGCCCAGTGGAGGACAGGAGAAAAACTGGCCTGCCTTTGTACCCCAGAATGAAGTTGACATGCCTAGTCCTGGGAGATAGTGGGGACTGGGGCATCGTAGGCCTAAAGACTAGCTGACCCTGGTCCATCCCAGCTTTACTGTTTCTCTTAGGCAGGTCACTCCCTTCTCCGAGCCTCTATTTCCTTTTTATAAAGAGGCCCACTCTTCAGGACTGTGATAATTAAAAGATACAATCTTAAATTTTAAAAAATTGAAATTGTCATTTTTCAAAGAAAACAAAGTTTTAAAAATCATTCATGAATGTAGTCTGTGCCCTACACAAAGTTGGGCTCAACAATGAATGACATCCTGCAGTTGGGTCTCATGCCAAGAAAGAAGTCCATATAACCACTGCAATTCTTTTCATGATAGACAGAAAAACACGCATGCTTTCTCTTCCTATCGCCTCTCAATTGCACAAGGCCATGAGGTTGTAGCAGAACCATCTTCACTGGGACACCTCAATTCTAGCATAGACCAAGGACCCGCTGGTGCTCAGCCTCCTTATGTAAGCAATGGGAAGAAGGAGAGAACCCCTAAGTAATGGCTCCAGCTCCTGAGCTGAAATGCTAGAACACTGCCTCATTGCTGATTTCCCAGTAGCACAGGGAATAGCTTTGTTCTCAGGAATGGTGGATGGTACTTTTTTTTGGCACTGGGGATTGAATTCAGGGAACTCGAACATTGAGCCGCATCCCCAGCCCTATTTTATATTTATTTAAAGACCAGTCTCACTGAGTTGCTTAGCACCTCCCTTTAGCTGAGGCTGGCTTTGAACTCACGATTCTCCTGTCTCAGCCTCCTGACCTCTGGGATTACAGGGTGGATGGTACTCTCTATACCACTAGCAGTTGCGACTTCCACAGCCCCTCTGTTCCCTTCTCCCCTTGGAGGGAAACAGACTGCGGCTCTGGTCCTCCCTCACCACTCTCTCCTCTCCTTAGGGTTGGGCTCCTCAGTGCCCCCGCTGCTGCCCGCTCTGCGACTGTGCCTGTGCCTGCCAACTTCCAGACTGCCAGAGCCTCAACTGTCTCTGCTTTGAGATCAAGCTCCGATGAGGACCCAGGATCCCTGCCCTTTGGGGAGCAGCCAGCCACCAGGGCCCACAAGCTCCCCTCCCTCAGGGCCCCCAAGACACTTTTTCTCCAGGCCATTGGAACCACAAATGGCTCACCACTCTGGCAACTGGAGGGCTGGGTTCCCTGCAAGGCAGGGCTCAGAGAGCCCTTGGGCAGCTGGACTGCAGCTCCTTTGGAGGGTGGGAGGGAGAGAGGCTGCCCCTCTTTCCCTCCCCAAGTAAACTATTGTATTTGATTTGGGGGATGCGGGGAGCATTGCTCACCACAGACTGCATGATGGGTGGGACTCAGCTGGCCTTGAGTTTCAGGATTTAGGGGTGCCCAACCACACCCTGTTCATGGACTCTTGGTTATTTTAGGAGGTGAGTATTTGCCTGCATCTGCTCTCCCTCTTAAAAAAAAAAAAAAAAAGCCATCATGAGTCCCAGAGTCACCGGGAGAGGGAATCAGAGAAGGAGGCATAGGAGGAGGCAGGGTGGCCATCCCATCTAACTGCCTGTACTCCTTTCCCTCCCCACAGACCTCGGGTCTAAGATTGATTTTCTCTTGACAACCAAGAGCTTCAGTCTAGGTCTCCAAGGAAGAAATTTCCTCTGAAGTACCGGTGAGTGGGAGGGGACCCCTCTCCCCCTAGGGCAGACCCAAGGCTTCCTCCTCCTTCCCCCATGGAGGGCCCCACGCTGGCTTGAATGTCAGGGGCTTCAGGTTTCCCTAAATATAGGTCCTTTGCAGGGGATTCGTGGCGGCAAAAGGGCAAGGGTTACCGAGAAGGTCGGGGACATTTGTGTGTGGGGGGAGGGCAGGAGCTGCCTTATAACCCAGTGTCCGCCTGGCTCTCTCGCCGCCGACCACGCTCTGCCTGCGCCTCCCTTTCAGCCTCGCAGCAGGTGGGCAGCTAGCCGAACTCTGCGGGGTGGGGGTGGGCCGAAGGGGTCGGAATGGGGGAAGGATTCGGGAAGCTCAGTAAATATCTGGGAGCGCGGAAATCGGAAATCTGTGGATCAGCGCTGGGGTGGATTTTGTATTGGAGAAGGAATTCAGGTTCAGGGAAGACGTTTCGCAGGGACACTTGTTTAGGCCAAGTCCTAGCCGGTTAGTTTCCGCACAGTCTGGTTTTCAAGTCTGCACCAGCAGCGGGCGGAAAGCGCATGTGCCAGAGCAGGCCAGGCTGGCCTTCCCGGCCCGGAGCCCGACTCTAAGCTGACGGGGAACCCCTTGTCAGGGCGGGACCCCACACCTAGGGGAAGGCCTCGCTACGGCTCTCTGCAAGCCCAGGCCGCTCTCTTCCGTTCCCAGTGCTTCCGTTCGCCGCCCTTCTCTCCGCCTCTCTTGCGCCTGAGTTAAGGACTGGGAGGGATCGGCTCCGCCACTGAGCAGGACAGCCCACGGGCGAGGCAGGCAGACGCCCTACCTCTTGATTTGGTTATGATGTGACATGCGATGCAACCACGCTGGCCGGAAGCTGGGGCTGCCCTGGCGCGGGGATGGTACCTGGGAGGAGAGGCCAGCCTTCGTATCTTTTGATTCTTCTATCGCTTTTCCCCCACCTCCCCATCCCCATCTCATCCCGTGCCAAAATTCCGGCTGAGTCACGGCACTCCAGAGCGCGCCAGACTGAATGGGGGGGAAGTACAAGGGAGGGGAGGGCCCTGGCCACCCGCGGGATGTGGCCCGAGTCACGTCCTGGGGGGATGGGGGAGGGATCGTATTCTCGCTGCCTTGTCCCCTCCCAAGAGCCGCCTCCTAGCTTCGCCTTTCTGGGCGGCCTTGCGCACTGTCACTCGCCTGCAATTGGACGCCTCCAGTCCCCGGTAAAGGAAAAAAACCCAGCGGAGGGCGGAGCGGTGTCTTTAAAAGACCAGAGTCGCCTCCTCCTGCCCGCCCCCTGCGCCACCCCCTCGGGATCTGAATAGGCTTCGTTCCTCTCGGAACGCGCCGCAGAACCCGGTTCCGGTGACGACTGCAGCGTTCGCATCTCAGTCCACCCGCCAGCCCACCGCCCTCCGCCGCCGCACCCCACAAACCCGCCCCCTTCTGTGCCAGGTGAGCGCCCCTAGCCACGTGCGAGGGTCTGGAACCATGGAGAAGGATCCTGGGGCAGTGGCGGGTCGGGCGCCTTCGCGGAGCCCCCACCCGGGACTGTGGCCAGTGTCTTCCCACTACCACCCCACAGACTTGCTCTCAGGCCGCTACTCCCCAACCCTCTCCAGCTCTAGCTCCCTCGGTCAGCTGCGCAACGCAGCAGCACCACGCTGAGTCATGGCGGGGGAGGAAGCAGGACGAGATGAAGGACCATTACCCCAATCCCTATCTTTGCAGGGACCCCCGGTACAAAGTCGTAGGGTCCCTTTGCCTCGATAGAGATCCCGAAAGGCAAAGAGGGGAGGACGCAGCTTATACTTGCCTCAGGATTTGCACAACTGGGTGGCGGGTGATTCCTGCCCTTGGAGATCCTGAGCCCCTGGTACTGGGGGGAAACCCCTCAGCTGGGCCTGATGACCCATTTACACTTTCCCTATCTTTCCTTGTGATCTTGATTCTGAGCCTGGAACAGCTGCAGCCGTGCAAACAGATAGGAGCATTTTTCAGGGAAGGGGTGGGGCGCTTGCCTCCCCTCAACATTCTCTTTCCCTGTATGAGCAGTGAGCACGGGCGAACCTTACCCTTCCCTCCACCTCCGACTGGGCTTGCTGGGCTGCCCTTTCCTGGGCTTTCGATTGCCTCCTACTTTTTTCCTAACACCCTCCCCTCACCCTGGGGGGAGAAGCCTGACCTTGGGATGTCCTTGAAGCCTTGGAGCGTGGGCCAGCCCTGGGATCTTGGGCGGATTGGAAGGAACACCCTAATAGCAGTCAGGAGATCTGGGTTCTAATCTCAGACCTGCCCCCCCCCCCCCCCCCCGTTGTGGTGTGGCTGGATGCACAGATCTTTACCTTCTCTGGGACCTTTCACATGAGATTTGGGGCCCTCTGCCCTACTCATGACCTTTAAATTCTAAAATACTTCGGTTCGGTTTTGTTTCTAGGCAAGGTGACCCCATGGCAAGGCGCAAGCCAGAAGGGTCCGGCTTCAACATGACCCGCCTGTCCCTGGCTATGGCTTTTTCCTTTCCCCCAGTTGCCAGTGGGCAACCCCACTCTCAGCTGGGAAACACCCAGCAACAAACTCAGGAGCAAACCCAGCAACAGACAGAGTTAGGAAAGGTACAGGAGGAGGCAGGCCTAGTATAGGGAAGTCGGGTGTAGGGGAGAGTTGGGGACAGGAAGTGCCCCAGGACCTGCAAGGGTGTGGGGCAGGGGAGGGTAGGGATCGATTCCCCTGACTTCCAAGAAAGGGGCCTGGTTCACTGGGCGACCATGAGAAGTCCCAGCTAACTACTCTACCACCATCTGTCTCCTTTACCCAGGAACCTGCTACCACCAGCACCATGCCCTACCAATACCCAGCACTGACCCCGGAGCAGAAGAAGGAGCTGTCTGAGATAGCTCGCCGCATTGTGGCTCCAGGCAAGGGCATCCTGGCAGCAGATGAGTCCACTGGTACGGTGCTGGCCCAAGACAAGAGTGGGAGGAGGCCCAGGGTTGGAAGTGACAGGTCAATCTCTTTATTCTCCCATGTGATGCTCCCTTCCAGGAAGCATTGCCAAGCGGCTGCAGTCCATTGGCACTGAGAACACTGAGGAGAATCGGCGCTTCTACCGCCAGCTGCTGCTGACTGCTGATGACCGTGTGAATCCCTGCATTGGGGGTGTCATCCTCTTCCATGAGACACTCTACCAGAAGGCGGATGATGGGCGTTCCTTCCCCCAAGTCATCAAATCCAAGGGTGGTGTCGTGGGCATCAAGGTGAGGGAGCCAGGGCCTCAGGATTTAAGTTTGGAAATTAATGTGAGGGAAAGGAATCCAGATTAATAGGGCAGGAGATGAATACTGAGTTGGGGGTCTAAAGACTAGGGTGGAGCTTTGGTTACAGACTTTATGGTGTACTCAGACTTGTTTGTGTGGTGCTGGGGATCAAACCCATAGTTTCCTGCATGCTAGGCAGATACTATAGCCGCAGGTGGAGTTTTTTTTAATGTTTTTTTTTTCTTTTTTAGTTGTACTGTTTATTTTTATGTGGTGCTGAGAATCGAACCCAGGGCCTCGCATGTGCTAGGCGAGTGCTCTACCGCTGAGCCACAACCCCAGCCCTGGCATTCTTAATCCTTATAATTCTAAGAGCAAGGCATTTTCCCACTTACAGGTGAAAAGCCAGAAGTTTAGGGAGGTAAAATCATTTGCTCGGCATTAGTGAGTGGTAGAGCCCAGGTGTCCTGACACCCAATCCAGTTAATATTCTTGTGGAATAATATTCCAATGTATCACACCTCACAGGTCTGGGTACTATAACTAAGTAAAAATATGGGCAAGCTTGGAGAGGTCGGTAAGAGATTAAGTGAGGTTGGGGTTGAGGGAGGAGGAAAAGATACTAGAGATCATTACCCTCATCCACCCCAACAGGTAGACAAGGGTGTGGTGCCCCTGGCGGGAACCAACGGCGAAACCACCACCCAAGGTGAGAACTGTTTGGATCTTTCCCCTGCCAGCCAGCGAGTGGAGATGCATCCCTCCCTCCCCCACCATGCTCTGACTCCTTCGTTTTCTCTTCAGGGCTGGATGGGCTGTCTGAGCGCTGTGCCCAGTATAAGAAGGATGGAGCTGACTTTGCCAAGTGGCGCTGTGTGCTGAAGATTGGGGAACACACCCCCTCATCTCTTGCCATCATGGAAAATGCCAATGTTCTGGCCCGTTATGCCAGCATCTGCCAGCAGGTGGGACTGCAGGTCCCCAAAAGGCCACCTCCCACCTCATTTGGTCCCAGTGTGGACTAGCTTGCCTCCCATCTGCCAGGATACCTACCTCCCCCAAAGCTGCTGTTCCCATTACGCACTGAACATGAGGCTGGTCCCTGGGAGGACATGCTGTAAGGCAGAGGGGCAGAATAGGGATTGCCTGGGTGGATCTGAGATGCCTGTCGCAGTAATCCACTGAGGGCTTTGATGCCATGCATTTCTATCATCAAGATACGATCCTGGCCAATGGCTGTGAGGACCTATGGGTGGGGTTCTAGGTGATAAGGCCTTGTGGCTACTCTGTCCCTCCCCTGACAGAATGGCATCGTGCCCATTGTGGAACCTGAGATCCTTCCTGATGGGGACCATGACTTAAAGCGCTGTCAGTATGTAACTGAGAAGGTAGGTTGCCTGTCTGTTCTGCCGGGATGGTGTGGTGGAGTGGGCAGCTGAGCCCAAACCTTGGGCTCACACCCTACCGGTCCACTTTGACTTTGCCCTCCTCTAGGTTCTGGCTGCTGTCTACAAGGCTCTGAGTGACCACCACATTTACCTGGAAGGCACCTTGCTGAAGCCCAACATGGTCACCCCAGGCCATGCCTGCACCCAGAAGTACTCCCATGAAGAGATTGCCATGGCAACTGTCACAGCACTGCGTCGCACAGTGCCCCCTGCCGTCCCTGGTGAGGCCTACCTCCCTTGTCTTGGCCTCCCGGAGGTAGATGAACTGTGCCTACAACCCTGGAGCCCAACTGGTCTGCTTTCCAGGGCAGTGTCTAAGGGCTTCTTCCTGTTTCCTGGGTCTCTGGCTAAAGCCCCACCCCTATTTTGGCCCTTGTTCTACAGGAATCACCTTTCTGTCTGGAGGACAGAGTGAGGAGGAGGCATCTATCAATCTCAATGCCATCAACAAGTGTCCCCTGCTGAAGCCATGGGCTCTGACCTTCTCCTATGGCCGAGCCTTGCAGGCCTCTGCTCTGAAGGCCTGGGGTGGGAAGAAGGAGAACATGAAGACCGCCCAGGAGGAGTACATCAAGCGAGCCCTGGTAAGGCAGGGGCAGATGGTGGCAGGGTGTGTCTGGGTGGATGGGAGGGACTCTGAGAAGAGACCTTCTCACACTGGCTCCTCTCCCCTCTTAGGCCAACAGCCTCGCCTGTCAAGGAAAGTACACCCCAAGTGGTCAGGCCGGGGCTGCAGCCAGCGAGTCCCTCTTCGTCTCTAACCATGCCTACTAAGCTGAGGCATTCTCAGGCTGCCCCCTCAACACTCCAGGCCCCTGCTCACACACACTCTTCAGGAGGGGGCCACATGGGGCTCCAGGCTCTTTCCCATCACTCTTGCCTCCCTCGTGACTTTGGTGTGTGGTGTTTGTGTGCGCTAACTCCATCGCCCCTTCCAGCCCACTGCCAATAAACAACTATTTAAGGGGGAGTCTGTTGTCCGTGTCTTGTGGCATCTAAGGCAGGGTGGGCCAGGGGAGGTGGCTGAGCAGGAAAAGGGTAGAAGGGGTGGGGTAGGGCTTTCCTCTGTTTTTTACTTACTCAGGGCTTTGAGAAAGGCTGAGAGCTTGTCAAATTTTCTTCTAGGCTCCATCCTGTCTAACTAGCAGTATATGATAAGGTTCAGAGTTGGGGACTACAGGTGTCACCACTTAAATCTTATAAGGCTACAGTCTTGGACTCAAGGGTACAGAGACCCCATGACTAAAGTAGCCACCACTATGAAAATGGGTGCTGAGATTCCCAGTTTATGCTTATCTTGATGCATTGTTGGACACATCTAATGTCCATCTCCTAATCAATGCTATCGAGCTCTATTTCCTCATTTTAATAGGAGATGGGTTTAGAAATAGCTTCTTAGGCCTCTCTGGACCACAGAATGCCTTGAAAAACCTGGAATCTCCCACATACCCGCGCCTTGGTGCAAATACACACAAAATGAACTACAGAGCTCAGGTTCCAGGTTAAGAACTGAGCTGCTGCATTCCAAGAAGCCATAATGAGGGCCCCACATTCAGCCCTAGGCCATGCTGTGAATCCTGTCCTATTACCCAGTCTTGGGTGTAGCAGAAACTAGACCAGTTCCTAGCTGCTGCAGATCTTAGCCATAACTACGGAACTGAGTAGTCCTGCCACTTCACATATTTCTTGCAACCTCCTCACTCCCACCCTTTTCTGGTGCAGATCCTTTCCATTCCAAGCTTCCCTCAAGAAAAAAGTCTTGACCTTTCTGATCTCCCTGATCCTACAAAATTCCGACAGTGATCTACGTAGCACTGACTGGATATCTACCACCTTCTAGGAATTTAAAAACTTAGTCCCTCCCTTCTGTCTGCTTATCCAAAACCAAACCAAACCTGGGCTGGAAGTGTTACCCAGTGGGAAAGCACTTGCCTAACGTGTATGTCCCTGGGTCTGATCCTCAGTACTCCCTGTCGTCCCCCCCCTGCCAAAAAAACCAAAACCATCTCTATAACTCTTCAAAACTTTGGGTCATTTCTCTTCTTGGCCTCATTCAACTCAGGAAAACAAAATCTGAAGTAAAGCAAGTGAAAACAAGGTCAGTAGAAGATGACACTAAGGACAGCATGATGTATAAAGGCAAGGGGACTGGAAAGACTGTTTAAAGATCAATAGTTACCTCTTCCTGCAGCAAAAGACTAGGGAAGCAGAGGAGTTTTAATGCCAGTTTGGAGAGTGCTGGTCTTTTTAATCTTTATAACAATGTGAGTTCCAGAAGCAGTTAAGGAAAAAAAGGAGAGGAAAAAAAAACCCAAAAACCTAGAACTGAGAACACAGCTTTTCTGAATTCCGAATTTTTAGCTCTGCAACCACAACCAAGTTAAGACTTAACTTCTCTGAATCAGTTTCCTCCTCTTAAAAAAGGAATAAAATGTTCAGGCAATAGAATGGTGTCAGGGGTTGATTTTGGAATAGGGACGTCGTGACGCTGACTGAGGCACAGGCTTAGAGCAGGAAGGGCGCGATCCTTTCTGCCCCAAACTTTGGAGCTCCTCTCTGACAAAGATTTCTCTGGGGCAGTGGGAAGAGACTTGGGTTGGGATTTCTTCCTTCACTGAATATTTATAAATGTCTACTGGGCCAAGACTTACCCTAAGCACTGGAGCTGCAATAGCGAACAGCCCCCAGGATTGTAGAAGGGGAGGCACGATGAAATGGGTAAACAAAAATTTGTAATATGAAGTGATTCAGCCTAGCGAGAGCCCAGCTTCATCTTGGTTTTCTTACTGTAACGGTAGGGGGTTGGTCTGCGTCTCTAACACCTCGCAGCGCCCAGGTGCCCAGTCCACATCCGCTGCCGCCCACTTCCTTCAGCTCTCCCATTCTCCGCCTCCAGGGGTGGCGATCAGGGCGCGGCAAGGGAAAGGGGAGGCGTGTGTATGACGCCACATCCGGCGCGCGCCGGAACTGGCCTCCCTTTGCTTCCGCGGCGGGGCCGGAAGTAGAAGCGGCGGTGGCGGCGGCCCAAAGCAGAGGGAAGGAGGGAAGCAAGCGAGTCCGAGAGCTCCAGCCGGAGTCGCAGCGGCGGTAATAGTCTGAAGCCCCTCTAGGCCACCGTCCTTAGCGCGGGACCGCGGGGTTCGACGGGAGTTAGTGGGGGGGGTGCGGCCTGAGCGGTGGGACGCTGGGGATCCCGGGGCTGATGTGAGGGGAGGCGGGGGGGCCAGCCCCAGAATTTAGTCGCCCCCCCCGTGCCCCGCACGGACACTCTCATCCGCGGGCTGTTCTTCTTTCCCAGGAGACCCCTGTGCGGTGCGGAGGGGGCGGTGGCCCCAACTCTGACCCGCGCCGGGGGGGGTGGGCCATGGCGGAGATCAGCGACCTGGACCGGCAGATCGAGCAGCTACGGCGCTGCGAGCTCATCAAGGAGAGCGAAGTCAAGGCCCTGTGTGCTAAGGCCAGGTGAGCCCCAGAAAAGTGAAGCCAAGCTGCCACCCAGGGGTTCCGGCCTGGGGCAAACCCAGCTCAGAACTTTGGGCTTGTCCCATGTTGGAAGCTTTTCCGAGAGGAGCAGAATAGGTCCGCTTTCCTCCAGGAACTACCTAGTTTGCCAGGGGAAGGTAGATGTGGGTAAAGACTTGAAAATATTAGATTTTATGCTTTGAGTGGAATAAAGGAGAGTTACAGAAAGTACTTAGAAAACTCAGGGAAACAACATTGGGGCAAACAGAAGCAGCTTCTTGAAGGGGCTGAGCTCAGGAAAAGAATACAAAGAGGTGTAAAAGGAGTGTTTGCAAGAACAGAAGTTAAAGGCATTGACTTATGAAATGATCTTTTTTTTTTTTTTTTTTAAATTTTTTTTTTTAATGTTTATTTTTTAGTTATTGGCGGACACAACATCTTTGTTTGTATGTGGTGCTGAGGATCGAACCCGGGCCGCACGCATGGCAGGCGAGCGCGCTACCACTTGAGCCACATCCCCAGCCCATGAAATGATCTTAATCCCAACAACAACCCTTTAAAAGAGGTGGTTTTGTCCCCGTTTTACAAGTGAAGACTTTGATGTTCAATGTTTCCAGGAAGTGTGGAATGGAGTCTGAAGCTATTTTGTGTCCTGACATTTTCCAGGCCATATGCAGTAAGGTGGAGTTGGATCAGTCTCATGCTTAATCTAGGAGGTAAATAAGCCAGAGTAGAATTAAGCATGATCTAGATGGACACCCACTTAAGAGTTCTATGGGAAGTAGAATGATGTAGTGATTAAGGGTCCAGGTTTTGGAATGCGGTGACTCTAGGTTTGAATCTGAACTCTGCCTCTTACAAATGTTGGTGATCTGGTGCCTCAAGGAAAAAAAAGTTTGTTTTGTTTTTTTTGTTTTTTTTTGTACCAGAGATTGAACCAAGGTGCAGTTAGCCACTGAGCCACATCCCCAGCCCCTTTTTTATTTTTTTATTTTGAGACAATCTCACTGAGTTGCTTAGGACCTTGCTAAGTTGCTGAGGCTGGCTTTGAATTTGTGATTCTCCTGCCTCAGCCTCCCAAGCTGCTGGGATTACATGCATGCATCAGTGCATCCACAAGGGCAAGTTTCTTTATTTGTAAAGTGGAGATGATCATGCTTAGTAAGATGGTTGTGAAGCTACATTCAGTGAACTGGTGCTTGAGGTAAATTTTTGGTCCAGTGTAAATGGCTTGACAAACACTAGGTGGTATTATTGCTATTTGAAAAGGCAAGAATCATATGGGCTGAAACTATCAGTAAAGGCTTCTAAGAGAAGACGGGTACAAAGGATAAAGATAATTTTGGTTATCTGATAGGGGCAGAGCCAGTAAGAAAAGGCATTCCAAGTAGGATGAGAGGAGCAGAGGACTAAAGATATGTGGGCAGCAATTGAGGAGACGGTTTTCCTGCTTCCTTTAGCGAACTGTTTGTGACTTCCAAGCTGGAGAATTATAGAAGAGCTGGAGAATTACCTGTTTATTGAACAATAGATCCACTAGTAACCTGGTCCCCCATCATCCTCCCATCCAACAAACCTATAAGGTTGGAATATAATTTGCTCCATTTTATATAAGAACAGAAAGGCACAATTATAGGTCTAGTGACTTGACTGATATCACCTAGTGAGGAAGTAACAGAGCTGGGTTCTAAATTTGTGCCCCTGATATTATTTGGTTGGCTCTTCTCCACTCAAGACAGACTCTTAGCAGTCAGACAGGACCTGTGTGGGATTGATAAACAGACTAGGCCCCTTTTAAAATGCCTGTATGGAGCTTTACTCTTTTGACAGCTCAAGAAAATCTGCTTGCTGGGTGCAGGAGTGCACACCTATAATCCCAGCTACTCGGGAGACTGAGGCAGAGGATTGCTTGGGCCCAGGAGTTCAAGGCCAGCGTGGCAACAAAGTGAGATCCCATCTCAAAAGGAAAAGAAAGAAGAGACAAGAAAATCTCCCTGACCAAACCAGCTCTAGGATGTTTTCAGTTCTCTTTCCCTCGATTCTGATTGGCATTTTTAGGAACTTAAACCTGATATTGTTCTTTTTTTTCCCCATAAATTTTATCTTCCCCACAGGACTTGGATCAGTGTGGTAATGATTATAGCTAATGCTGGGATAGCATGCTGGAGTTTTCAGAATAAGCAAATTTATGTGTGCAGTCTCCATTCCAACAGCCCTATGGAATATGCAGGACAGGAGGAAGCATTTACTCTATTTTATAGAAGATCAAATTGAACCTTAGTGTAGATATCTAGTCTTACACTTTGTCACACAGTAAGTTAGCAAGTTCAAGAGGAAATGAGTTTTGAGCCCAGGTCCTTGACTATGCTCCATGGTCATTGATAGCCAGGCAGAGACATTTCGATATGGGGTATGATAGGCAGCAGGGAGCTCTGGAGGACTGAGGGGTGGGAGGACCCTGCTTAATTGAGACTGAAATGTAGCTAGAAGGTACTAGGTTGAGGTTTGAGGTGGCCTCTGTTATCTTAGGCTTAGTCAGAATGGGGACCAATTTTAGCACTTGGCCATGGCCTGGGGACCCGTCAGAGACTGGCTGAAGCCAGTAGTTTCAAACGCTTCAGCTTACTGAGAAGGTACATAGAAAAAATTAAACCCATGGAACCACAGAGGCCTGCAGTAGTTTGAACTGAAAAGTTTTTGTATTGGGCACTCTTCGGTGTGAATCTCAGCAGTGTGACCCTGGTCAAGTCATTTTACCTATGTAAGTTTTTTTGAGTCATTGTGAGGCCTGAATGAGATTCTGCCTATCCAGGAACAGGGCCTAGCACATTATTAGGAACTTACAGAAGGTTTGTTAGTTGTGGAAATAATGGGGAACAGTTGTGAGTCACTGTAGGGCTAGTGATGTGCTGCAAGTGATAGCTGGTGTCAGAGAACCTGGTTCTTGTTCCTTGAGTGCACCAGTGCTGTGCTGCCCCTGAGTTATGGTTTTGCAGAGAGGAAGACTCCTGCATTTGACCTTGCTGGGTTTCAGGTGTGTCTTGGGTTTAGTTGAAGAGGCTGGCATAAATTCTCACGAGATTGAGCTCCCGAGTTCCAGTTCAGCCACTCTCCAGCTTTGTGGCCTCGACTCTGCCACTTTAAGCCTTGCTTTGTTTATCCATTAGATGAGAATGAAAAGAACCCCCTCACCCAGTCTCTTGGAAGGGTCATTATAAACAGTTGCTATAGAAGGATATTCATCCCAAGATTCAGTACAGGTGGGAGAACCCAGTTGCTCTTCTGGCCTCCTGGACCACCATCAATGCCACCTCCTGTTCGAGAAAGCTAAGGCATACCTGCCTTGTGCTCAGAGAGTCCCCTGAGGGACAGATGTGAATCCTCCCATTCCCTGTACCTGGGGAACTCCCTTAGTGGGAAGAGACTAGCAGAAACAGTGGGGTGGAGGAGGAGCAGCCTGGGGCCACCCCCCATCAGAATAGCTCCATAAAAAGAGTCAAGCCCCCTCCTTTAACCCTTCCCACGAAAAAAAAAAAAAAAAAGGCCTGGAGCCAGGCTTCTCTGGTTCAAATCCCACCTTTGCTTCTGCCACCCACCCAGCAGCCTCCCATGTTTCAGCTTATACATCCTCTCTGTGAAACATCTGTTCTTGCCTTTGAGGGTGACTGATGGGGGGCATCTGTGCATAGCTCCTTATAAACAGTTGTGGCCTGTGGTGTGAGCCCCAATGTTCAATGCTGCTCTTATCAGGAGCAAAATTTGGAAATATAGGTGCTACTTAAGCTTGGCACCTATAACTGCCAAAGTGATTTATGTCATCCTCACTCAAGTGGAAGTAGACTGCATTTCCAGAAATAAAGTCCGCACCTTCTCAGGTGTGTGGGGGACATCCATGGACAACATTGAAATAAATGTTGAAAATGTAGGAACAGTGCATCCTCCCTTTGAAGGTACATCTGATGGTTGACCTGCCGGGGATACCACCCTTGTCTTTGGACAGTCTGGGAGAAGGGTCTTGGGACTGGTAGACTGATATCAGACTTCAGTTATGGGACAGTTAGGGAAAGCTCTAAGGGAACAAGGGGCTCTGTCTCCCAGGAATAAGTACTGGATACCTGAGAGGGAGTAGCAGGGGAGTCAAGGCTGGAAGTCACAGTCTGCATGGAAGGGCTTGGATACTGGGATGAGAGCTGGGACTTTGTCCTGTTGGCAGCTGGGAGCTTTGGAAGGGGTTGAACAGTGGAGGGCCATGGTCAGCTGATCCTAGGGAAATTGAACACTTCACTCCTGCCCCCTGGCGGTTCAAGGACCACCTCATGTCCTCCCCTCCCCCCCAAAAAAAGGTCAGGAATTGGGCTGGGCTGTCCTGGCTGTGGTGACCCTGGTCTTCTCCTGTCTCCAGAGAGATCTTGGTAGAGGAGAGCAATGTGCAGAGGGTGGACTCCCCAGTCACCGTGAGTATACTTTGTCCCTGAAGCCCTGGCTTGATCTTTTGAAACACCATAAGTCCACCCCTCATTCCTGGGGTCCCAGGGAGCCCGGTGTCTGTCTCCTCTCCTTTCTTCATGGGTGCCCCACTCTAAGAAATGCATGTTTTGGGAATTTTGATTTGTTTGGGATGCTCTTGGCTAGGGCAGGGGGGAGTCCAGTTTGGTGAGTGACTCTGGTCACATTTCTGTGGCTCTGCATCTGTAGTCATATTCTGGGTACTTGGAGGGAGGGAGGGGCCAAGTCCTCCAGGAGCAGTCAGTAGCATTGGGGAAAAAAAAAAAAACAGTTCTGGCCCCTGCCAGTGGGGCAGTTGGCACTCAGGGTGGGATGGCGGGTGACACTACAGCAGGCTGACTCTGGGCAGATAGTAGATGTCCAGCCTGGAGTTGTGGCAGCCTCAAGAGCCATGAGTCTCTTGAAAGCATGGGGTGTTTTGGGAACAGAGGGGCCATCCTTCTGACCACTGCGTGAGTGCCAACCCACCTTCATACTTTTCAGGTGTGCGGCGACATCCATGGACAATTCTATGACCTCAAGGAGCTATTCAGAGTGAGTGTAGGGGAAACTGGGGCTTGTGAGCTGGGAGTGACTGGAGGCCCCACTTATTGACAGGGAAGTCCTTCCTTTGGTGGCATGAAGGGGAGCAGGAAGCTTCTAGTTGGATGGACCTTTTGTGAAAGAAGGGCCTCAGCTGGATAGGAGCATGGGCCGCTGCAGTGGTCCAAAAGACCAAGCAGAACCTTCTTCCTCCCCACAGGTGGGTGGCGATGTCCCTGAGACCAACTACCTCTTTATGGGGGACTTTGTGGACCGTGGCTTCTACAGTGTTGAAACCTTCCTTCTACTCCTGGCACTTAAGGTGGGAGCCCCTGGCTTCTAGAGCCCATGCCTGGGCCATCCCAGGCCAGCCTTTCTGTATCCTGGCCACCGTCATTTTTTTCCCTTCCATTTTTCCACTTTGGAGCTGTGCTGCTGGCTCTGGACTGATTCTGTTTGGTGGGCTGTTGCCTTGACTCAGGGCCACCTGCCTCAGCCTTGGACAATGAGGCTAATGGGGCAGCACTGGGAGAGAAAAGAGAGGCTGGCTTTGTTGAGAAGGTGGCAGTCACTGAGGATGGCTGGATACAGTGTCCATTGGTGGAGAGAGATGGAGGGGCCAGAGAGCCTTGAGCATCACGGAGGACCCGGGTCTGGCGGGTAGAAGAGTAGCCATTGGGTTTGTAACTGAAGCGGGGAGGGGTCTGTTTACTTCCTCTGAAAGAGGAGCTAGGGACCTGTGAGGCAGATGACACTGTATGATTTATGCAAGAAATGACATGAGTCTAGGCCAGGACAAAGGTTATGAACACAGAGTGAGGCTGTCAGACATGTGGAGAAACAGAGCTTGGATCCCAGCCCTGGTTTGGTGGCCACCCCTAGGTTCGCTATCCTGACCGCATCACCCTGATCCGGGGCAACCATGAGAGCCGGCAGATCACGCAGGTCTATGGCTTCTATGATGAGTGCCTACGCAAATATGGTTCGGTGACTGTGTGGCGCTACTGCACTGAGATCTTTGACTACCTCAGCCTGTCAGCCATCATTGATGGCAAGGTAGGCTGGCCACGGGACTCCTTGGGGCGGGAGTGATGGGGGAGACTCTGGATCTGTGCCTCCTCCCTCCTGGTCTCGCTCTTCCCTCTAGATCTTCTGTGTGCACGGGGGCCTCTCCCCCTCCATCCAGACTCTGGACCAGATCCGGACAATTGATCGAAAGCAGGAAGTGCCACATGATGGACCCATGTGTGACCTCCTCTGGTCTGACCCTGAAGGTGAGGGGTGGGCAGGTGGGGCAGGGCCAGTCTGGCGGTACCTTCATTAGTTGAGACTGGTTAAAGCAAGGACCTTGACGGGACAGGCCAGACGGGAAGAGTCTAGGGAGGAGCAGGGCAGGGCTGGTCCACACTGCCTTCTGTCCTCCACCTGTAGGCTGGCTGGACCCTCCATGGGGAGCAAGGGGGTATGCTGGATCCCATAGAGGGGGTCATGGTCAGAAGGCTGTTTAGGACAAAATCATTGGCTCCCTGCATGGCAAGGGGCTTCAGGACCTGACAGCAGCTTCTTCATAGGTCAGACCTTGGAATGAAAGCTCCCCAAGGACCCCTCGCGTTGTGGGAGTCCCTGCTGCTGTGGAGTAGAGCTGAGAGTTACAGTCAGGACTCTTGAGTACCAGCCGAGGGCCCAGCCTCCCCTTTGTCACTGCCATTCAGACTGCCCTGCCAGGTCTAGGGTGACCTTTCACTCCTCCTGGGCCACGACAGTGCTTATTCGCTCTGATACTGCTGGTGGCTCTCACGAGCACCTCCTCTCACTTGCATGCACACCTGTTTGGACAGTCCATTGAATGGTCACTGTGATTAGGAGGTGGAACCAGACCCCAGCATTCTTTCTCCAGCTCATCCGCTCCAACATTTGCAGTCCTCTCCCCCAGAATCCCCTGGAACATATATATTCCAGGGGAATCTTGCTGCCCGGGACTCTGGTTGATTGGAGAAAGGTGACAGGATATTCACCTTTAAGGGGCAGTGGGCAACCAGAGAAGCCTTGAGGACCTCCTCTCCCCATCTCTACCTTATTTGCCTCAGACACAACAGGCTGGGGTGTGAGCCCCCGTGGAGCCGGCTACCTGTTTGGCAGTGACGTGGTGGCCCAGTTCAACGCAGCCAATGACATTGATATGATCTGCCGTGCCCACCAGCTAGTGATGGAAGGTTACAAGTGGCACTTCAATGAGACCGTGCTCACTGTGTGGTCAGCACCCAACTACTGCTACCGGTGAGCTGGTGGGACGGGGAGGTCAGGGTGGTGATGGGGAACCTAGGCTGACCCGTTCCTAACTCTGCTGCCCCCTATTTCCAGCTGTGGCAATGTGGCAGCCATCTTGGAGCTGGATGAGCATCTCCAGAAAGATTTCATCATCTTTGAGGCTGCTCCCCAGGAGACACGGGGCATCCCCTCCAAGAAGCCGGTGGCCGACTACTTCCTGTGACCCTTCGGCCCTGCCCCCTCCAACTTTTTTGGCCCTTGGACCACTGTGACTCTGCCCTCTCCCCAGTCGGAGGCTGGGCAAGGAGGGGCTGTCCCCAGCTCTGCTCTTCCCCCAAGAGGGCGTTTCAAGGGTGAGGACTTTCTCTGGAGAGGTTTGGAGCCTTAGCTCCATGCTCCTCCTCTCCTTTCTCCCCACTTGAACCATGAAGTTTCCAGTATTTTTTTTTTCTTTTTTCCTTTTTTTTGGTTTGTTTTTAGATAAAAGTTTTGAGAAAAAAAAGAAAAAAAATTCTAATAAAAGAAGAAAAATGGTTGTTGGGTTTGTGTCAGTTTTGATTGGGGGTGAGCAGAGATGATGGCCTGGGACCTGGGTGGGCATCAGGACCTTCGCTCCTTGGCCCTAATCCTGCCAGGAAGGCAGCTCTCCGGTCAGTCCACTTGCCCAGAGCCTCCAGTGACCACTCCCAGAGGCCTCCTCCATGCCGGGTAAATTCTCAAAACAGCTAGTGTTAGGAAATTCAGATTTCCTCCATTTTCCTAAAGAGGAAAGTGGCCCAGAGCAGGTTGATTCGCGAACACAAGGTCATAGAGCTGAAAACAGGCAGTTCTGGATCTGCCTGGGTTACCCCACAAAGCCTTCATTGGCCCAGCCCCGCCCAGGGCCAACACCACAAGCCCAATGTTTCCTGAGCACTGATGTCTTTTTGAGTTTTATTAACAAAAATACTCTGGTCCTGAGAACAGACTGGTGTGGCTTGCAGTGGTGGCAAGTGGGGCCACAGGAGGTGGAGATGCTGGGCTGTCCCCATTTGGCCAGGCAGAGGGCCTCCTTCCATTCACACGGAGGTGAGAGCCTGGAAGGGGAAGCTGGCCCCAGCTGGACTCCCAGCAGCCTGGCTTGGGCTTTGAAGCCAGAGGGGGTGGGAATGAAATCAAGGTGTGAAGTGGGGTGGGGGACAGGCCCAAGGCAGCCATTTGGTGTGGGGGATGGGGACAGTGGAATGAGGGGGCTTCAGTGCTGGGGGAAGGGAACTGGAGATTGTGATGGAAGATGAGGCAAAGGGGCCCTGTGACGGCTCAGTACATTGGTTTGGAACCCACATCCAGGTATCCCCCAGGGCCTGGGTATGGCAAGGGGAAGGGGCCCCCTTGAAGGAAGTGTGGAGCAAAGGATGCTCCGGGTGGAGCTGCTGGGTACCCTGAGCCCCCAGGCCCAGGCTGCAGCTCCAAAAATGCAGCTGAGTAGGGGGCTGGGCGCCCAGAGTCTGGAGCCTCAGGGAAGGTAGGGTTCCTGAAGTAGAAAGACAGCTGTCAGAACAGGAGAGAAGGGACACCTGGAAGGAGCATTCCAACCCTGTGTCCTTGTCCCACTCACCTGGTTGGTAGGTGATTGGGAGCTCCATGGAAAGCTGCGGGGTGCAGGAGATAGGCCTCAGCACTGGGGCCACCACATGGAGGAGCTGGGGCAGGAACAGCTTCCTGGGGAGCTGAGGACTGCTCTGGATCTGACTCATGCACGTCCCCACCCAGGGTGGAGTCACAGGGACCCCCTGGTGTATCTGGGGAGACAGAAGGGGCAGGTTGGGCCAGGGAGGATCAGTGTCATAGGCCTGGCCCCATCACTATTAGGACAACTCACCTCCACTCCCATAGGCCTCTGTGGCTACTGGCTCTGGGCCTCGAAGTTTCCTCTTCACACGGGCATCCCGCTCCCTGGGGAACAGTGGTGATGATGATGATGATGATAATGATGATGATAGTAATGATGATGATGGCACTATTAGTACTTACCAGGTGCCAGGCATTTCACCCTCCCAGGGACCCTATCAGGCAGGTGCCATTATTATACCCATTTTACAGATGAAGAAACTAAAGGCCAGAGAATTAAGGGATTAGAAAGCAGAACTGGGATTTATTCCCCACTTGAACTTTCAGTGCCCTACTGTTTTTAGAATCAGTGGAAATTCTCCCAAGCTGCAAATCTAAGGCATGGCCTGACCCCAGCCCATTTCCCTCTGCCCCAATCTCCATCAGCTGCCATCTCCTACCCACTCTTCGCCTACTGAACTCATCCCTTTTGTCTTAGGTAAAGCAAAACTTCCTCAAGAAAGACCTCCCTGTCCTCCCACAGTGCCACAGACCCTTCCTCATGCTGTTTATCACAGTCACACTTTTACATTTGATAGAATGATCCTGTGGGTCGTGTCTATCTCTTCTGACAGAGGGTAAGCTCCTTGAGGGTAGGGGTCCACCTGGAGGAGGCTGTACTCAGATGCCCAAGTCCTTGCTACGGAGCCTAACCTAGCTTCCCATCACCTCCCTGACTCGCCTTTTCACCGACTCCACTCCACTCACATGGTAGGTATGTCCTGCCTCAGGACCCTTGCACACACAGCTCCCACTCCCAAGCATGCTTCTTCCCACTTACCACATGGCTTCCTCTACTTCCTTCAGGTCTTTTCTTAAATGTTCTTTCCTTGGGGAGGCCTTCCTAGGCCATTTATCCACCTCCTCACCCCAGCCTTCCTATCCCTTCCCTGATATATTTCTCTTTAGAACGTAATGCTAACTTATATTTTATTTATTTTGTTTACTTACTCATTAGCATTATCAGCATCATGAGGACACGGGCTTTGATTTGCTTTGTTTACTTATGTGTCCCCCATGCCTAGAACAGTGGCTGGCATACAGCAGGTGCTAAATAAGCATATTCGTTGACTCAATGAGTGAATAAATGTTTTTATTTACCATTGCATTCCTGACATCTGACACAGTACTGGGCACATTAGTGAGCAATTAATAAATATTGTTGAATGGATCAGCGAATGGACAATGCTCACCTCTTGCAGTTTCTGCCATTCTCTCGGAAGCCTTTGGCAAAGGGATTGGCTGCAATCTTGAGTTGTGTGATCTGGGGGCACAAATCCAGGTCAAAGCTCCTGCAGCCTGGGCAGGGTGCTGTTACCCTCTCAAGCAGAGTCACTCACCCGTGGGTTCTGGTAGGCTGTCACAGAGATGAACGTGGTCTCAGGGAAGCGAAAAGAGGCCACGCCCCCCCAGTGCTGGCTGCAAAGCTGGGCGGCCCGCACAAGGTGTATGCGGGGCTGATACTTGTGCATGGAGTGCAAGATCAGCTGGAAGGGAAGAAACGGGAGTGATTCCTTGTTTGGGGGCCCCAGCCTTAGCCTCTACCTAGCACCACCCCTAACCCCTATCCTGGAGTTCCAGCTTGGGCCTCACGTGGCCATGGGGGTCCAATGTGCTATTGGTGAGCTTGACACGATGGAAGGACACAGGCTGCCGCATCCAGTGGGCACCAGTGGCAGGAGAATCAGGGTGAATATAGACACGATCAGGCAGGCGGGGCTCTGCCTTGCCGCTGGGCTCCCAGCGCCGGCCCTGCCAGCGGTAGCGAGCCCCATCCACTGGAACCACATCCAGAAGAAACAGGTAGCGGGCCTCAGGGTCCAGGCCAGTGACTGACACTCGGCAAGCAGGAAACATGCGCCTGCACAAGGCAAGAGAAGGGAGAGGCCTGGAGCTACCTACTGGCCAGAGGCCGGCCTAGCACCAGTAAGGGAACATCAGGTAGTCAGTTCTGGCAGAGAAACATCAAGGGAGGTGGAATTAGAACCCAAAGGCAGAATCGCAGAGTTGGAAGACTGACTCCATTTTACAGATGGAGAAACAAATAGGTAATCTGACCAGGATCACAAAGCAGTTTAGAAGCAGAGCCTACTTGCTGGAGGAGTTGTGGCTAACTTTTCTCCCTGAAATAATGCCAGGAGTCTCATGCTCCCCACCTTGGTTTCCTTATCTGATCTCTATCACCAGCCCCTACAGTTGTTAAGTTGCTTCAGAAAAAATAAGACCCTACCTTCAGAGAGGAGAGGATTTACCATGCTAGGGCCTGAGCTCCTGTCCAGATAAAGATCTTGCACAAGCCACACACTGATCACTTGAGCCTCAGAGGTCAGCCCAGACCTAGTCACATATTCATGCCTATTCAAATTAAACATGGAGCTGATCCAGGTTTCCCTGAGACTGGCCACCAGCTTGATCCCAGACAGTCTAAATCCTAATTCCAGCCACAGACCCACTCCTGATCTAGGCCACACACTAACCTATAAACCAGTCAGACTTCCTGACCTTGGTTCAGACTGATCTGTGACCCTTAATAGATTGGCCCCCAAACCCAACCACAGACTCCAAAATTGACCCTTGACACTTGCCATAGTCCTGATTCCATCCATATTCACTCATGCCCCAGGCCATAGTCAAATTCTGAACTTGGGCTGAACTCCAGCCCTGAAGAAACTCCCAAACCCAGTCTGGTGTCCAGGATCTCTTTTCCAAGAGACCCCAGAAGAAATTGATTCGGCTAGCCCTCACCTGCCGGCTTTGGTGATGATCATCTCTGTCCCCACAGCGTTGAACTCCTTCCACAGCTCCTGGTTCTCCAGGCTCAGGCTGACCCCAGGGAGGGAATGAAGGGCTTCTGCAGCTGGTGGGGCTGGCTCAGTACCCAGGGTAGGGGGCAGTAGGGGCAGAGGTGGGGCTGCAGCTAGGGTGCGGGGACCAGCCTCAATCCCGGACAGGAAGCAATCCAGTTTAGGGGTATCCAGATCTGGAGATGTGGGGAGAATGAGAAACCGGCCTAGGGTCACAGCCGCCAAAACCCCTAACTAGCAGCAGGTCCCACCGCTCACCAGGGTAGCGGTAGCCCTCTGCCAGGGCGGGAGGGAAGCTGGAGTCCCCACCGGGTTGGGGGGGCCCCAGACGGTAGCCGGTCCCCAAGGAGGGGTACAACTCTCGTGGATGGTACATGTTGTAGTCCCTCTGGCTTCAGGTCACGCTGCCTATAGTGCTGAGAGATGCCCCCTTTATAGCTCACAGCTCAGCCCCTTCCAGACCTGGGATCACAGCCCCTCCCCTCTTTGAGGCCCTGGAGGTGGGCTGGAGTGAAACCCCTGGGGCCTCGAAGGGGTCCAAGAGGGGGCCGGATACCTGTACCTTCCCCTTCCCCTCCCCCATGGGCGGCTTCATTAGCCCCGACCCCCTGCCCCCTCATTACATAATTAACTCCTCGGCCTGATTGATCCCCAGGGCTCGGACAGGGACGCAGTTTGGCGCTTCCGGACAGCTGGTCCCCGTTCCCACGGGGGGAGCCCCGGCTAGGGACAAGCTACGGGGGGCGGGGCCTGGACCCTGGGACCTAGCCCGTAGTCCTGAGGCAGACCCTGGCGTCCCAGATTTTCTTGCTAGTAATCTCCACGCCCTTACTTGGGAGAACTAGGCTTGGAGGAAAGAAGCGTAACTGGAGGGAAAGTGCCGGGTTGGAGGGAAGCGGCCTGAGCTAATAATTACATGGGACACTGGAGACCTCGACGAGTCCGCAGCAGAGGACTGAACCCATTCCTTCCTGGTTCCCATTCTGAAAAACCTCTACCCTTCACCAAGTCTCAAAAGTTGAGGGACGCACGTAGCTCTACAGTCTCGACTTGTAGCGCAGGGTTGCCCGTAAGGTCCAACCTCGGCACACTCGGAACTACACTTCCCAGCAGACTCTGCGAAGGCGCGCGTGAAGGAGATAAGTAGACTGCGCTGGGGCCTCTGGGAGTTGTAGGCTGGACGAGGGGGGCGGTGAAGCGGGCAGCTTGGCATCCTCCCAGGAGACATGCCTCTAGGCGGCGGCCAAGCACTAGCGCAAGAAGAGGTAGATCACTCGAGGTCAAGGCCTAGGGCCAGTGTGGGCTCAATGATCCCACAGGTAGTGGAGACCAGCTTGGAAGGCCATGCCTAAACCATACCCCGTGGGGGTCCGGAACGGAACAGGTCTATAGGGGCAGGAGTCTTTATTCCAGTTTCCCCCTCCCGGATTCCACGTGAGCCTGGGGCTGTCGCCACTTCATTGTTTTATTATATACAAACGCTACAGAACGAGGGGAACAGACGTGCGTGGGGTAAGAGGGGCTCGGTGGGAGAAGTTCACAGGGCAGACGGTGTACTGGGGCCAAGAGAGCAGCACACAGGCCATATCTATGGGGCAGGCGGGACTGGAAGGGGTTAAAAACGAGATCCAAGCCAGCCAGATCGCAGGGAAATGCGGGGGTGTCGTCCCCCCTTCTGATCTCCCCCCAAGGTCACAGTGCATGCAATAAAATATATGTACAGGAGCTGGATTCTTCCTCTTCGGGGCCCTGAAGGTCCAGAGCTCCCTTCAGGTGGAGGGAAGCCAGTGGCGCCCCCTGGCGGCCAGGCCAGGCTGGAGCCACATGCGTCAGGAGCGGGGGTCAGTCCCAGCCGTTGTCTTTGATCATGTGGTTGAGTTCAATGATGTACTTCCCCTCTTTGTACTTCTGGCTGCTCTCAAAGGCCTGCTCCTGAAAAAGGGCGCGGGAAGCAAGAGCTTTACAGTTGACCCAGGGCTGGGGAATGGATCTGATTGGCCTCATTTTACATATGAGGAAACTGTCCCAAAGAAGCCAAGCTACCTGCCCACAGACACAGAGCTGGTAAACAGCAGGGCTGGGCTGTTCCTCACTAATAAGGAGTAGACAGAACTCTGAATCATGGGTACTTTTTACGCACTGACAGTCTCAACAGAGAAGACATGGAAATATTTAAAAGATTTCATAGTCCTCAAGCAAACTGGTGGCTTGAGGGCCATTTCAGCCTACACATGGTTTTATTTGGATAACAGAATTTCATGAAAATAACTTTAGAATGTGAGAGGCTTGATCCCTGTGCCTTAAAACAAACAAACAAACAAAATCCCCCAAACTTTAATATACTATAGGCACACACGCTTACTCCCATTTATCCTAGCCCGCTCTTCCTCTCTGTTATTCCTTTTGCAAATCCACATTATCTGCTTGGCCTCAAAAACTTGAGTTTTTAATCTTTAGCCTAGGCTACCTCTTTATTTTTCAGAGGTCCAGAGAAGCCAAGCCACTTGTCTAGAGACACACAGCAAATGTGTGGCAGGGACAAGAGCTGAACTCAGGTCAGACTGTCTGTTTTATCTGGGGTACCCACTTCACAGAGGAACTCCAAGCAATGCCTGCCCAATTCAGTACCTTACAGATTCCCAAGAGCATCTTCCTTTGCTACGTTTAATCTGATCCCTGTTACAATCTTGGGTGCCAGGTGGTGGCTTTATCCTCCAATGTCAGATAAGGAAATGAGACTCAGGGTAGTGAAATCAGATCCTGGACAGCAGCAATGGCAATGTGGCAATGGAAGAGAAGGCCTGTGGACCCAAGTTCCATGTTGCTCTGGGGTCTTGAGCAACTTCTTTGATCTTCTGAATGATAATATAAGCCAGTGGGCAAGGATTTGGAGTTAAGAAGAAAGAACAAAAAAGAACCGAATAGGATTCTGATTCCTATTCTGATCAGTTTTATGTCTTGGGCAAATTACCTAACATCTCTGGGAAATATATGCCAGGCACATAAAAGTGCACAGTATATAAGCATTCAATAAATGGTAACTCGGCTTATTTCCTCATCTCTAAAACAGAGATGCTGATGCCTTTGAAGGAAGGGGTGGATTATGAGAAAAATTCTACAAGTGCCTGTAGGATGCAAAAGAAGAAAACATGGTCAGGGGCTGAAAAGACAGTTTGGCTTCTCTCTGAGGGCCTATGCACTCTGAAAAGTTGACTACTTGTGAGAAACAGGTGATGTGAGGTCAGGTCAAAGGTTACCATGGGGTCAAAAATAACTGACTCACATATTTCCAGCCCAAAGTGGTCTTGCAGTTCTCGCAGTGGATGTCAGCGACAGCATGGAGGCCTGTCAGCAGCACCCGCTCCTCGGCTGGCCCGCAGCCCACATTCACCCTGCAGGGACATGGGGCAGTTTCAGGAAGTGTCCCACCATGGCAGAGCCCTCCTCCAGCTTGTATCCACTGCATCTGTCCTTATAATCCCAGAGAGGGGTGATCACCGGTATCCTGCCTGACCCAGGGGACTCTGGGAGTCTCAGCATGATACCAGGGGTCATAGGTCACAACAGAGGTCAGGAAAAAGAAAGGAGGGGGCCAGATACTCACACAGAATTGAAGAGGTAGGCACGCCCCTGACTGCCCTGGAAGGACTAAAGGGTGGGAAGGGGAGAGGAGGGGGTCAGGGTTACTGGTGGGGAGCTGCCAGACAGCCCATCTAGCCTCCCATTCCAGCCTCAATTGTAGCCTGGTTACCTTGGAGATGAGGTCGTCGTGGTTGGCCAGGTGAGCGCGGCAGTGGGCACAGCTATACCTCCGGTGACAATCATCCAAGTAGGCCTGAAACGTCTTGGGCTTTGAAATCCGCACCATGGCGGGGGCCAGGGGCAGTGGCCCCACGCGGGGAGCGGCCCACGGGGAGCAGAGGGAGCCCAGTGCCTGCCAGGGAGGGAATAGGTGGGCTGTCAGGACCCAGGCCACACACATGCAGGCACGCCCAGAGCCATGGGGACTCTCTGTCACACTTGGCTGCTCTCTTCTTTCCCCAGAGCCAGCAGCCTCGCCAGGGACCAGAGTCGTTTTAGTTTTGACTCAGTGAGGAGGCCTCAGGTTGCATCAGCAGGGAAACTGAGGCTAGGAGGAGCTCAAGGTGAGTCACCCACCTGCTTCCAGCTTCACCCCTGTTGACCTGGCAGTTGAAGCTGGAGGAAGGAGCTTTAGAGTGGATGGACTGTCAGTCCCAGATCAGGGGGGAGCACAGGGAGTTAGGAACTGGCAGATCCTTAAGACTTCATTTGGACTGCGGGTGGGGCTACTCTGGGGTCCAGGGAGTTCACCTGGAGAGAAGGTCCCTCACCTGGAGGAGGCAGGAGGCCCTGCTGAAGGTGGAGGGTTACCTAATAGCGGAGGGGCTCTCACCTGGGGGCGCTGAGACCTCATCTCCACCGAAGGAATCTTACCTGTATCGCGGAGCCTTACCTGAGACCCCGGGGCTCACCTGGGGCGCGGGGGGTGGGGGGCGGGCGCCGGGGGAAAGGGGCAGTCCTCGCTGGCGGGGCGGGGGCGCGGGGTGACGCGCAGCCCTGACGGTGCGGGCCTCACCTCGCCTGGGCGCGCGGGGCCCCGGTCCGCGGGGTGGCCTGGCCTGGGAGTGGGGGGCGCTCCTGGTGGGCGCCGTCCCCCCCGGCCCGGGTTCGCAGCCGCCTCGACTTGTTTACACCGAGACCAGCTGCTGCCGCGGCTGCGGCGGGAGGGGGAGGGGGCCGGCCTCCAGTCCCGGCGGCCTCCGTGGCCAATCGGCGTGCCGCATGCAAATGAGGGGGCGCGTCATACGGCGGCCAGCGCAGGCCTGCGCTGCCCTTCCCCCTGCTCCCGGCTGCTGCCGGCCCGGAAATGCGGCTGCGGCCGTCGGCGGCCACGGCCTGGTCACCTCGTTGGCATCCAGCGGTGTTTGAAGAAGCAAGGATCTGAGGGTCCTGACCCTGCGCAGGGTTAGGAGAAGGGTAGTATCAGCACGTCCGGTCCCGGGAAATAATAGTCATATCTGCGTTTCTCCAAGGCCGGCGCCTCACTTAAGGCAGTCTCTCCTATTGTCTCCCTTTTACCAGAGACTGTGGCCCAGAGAGGTCTAGCATCTCTCTCGAGCTGATCAGCTGGTAAGAGGCAAAACAACTCACTTTGGCCGACTCCATGGTCTTTGCCATACCACCAGGAACAGACTTCTAAGAGATGAACTATCTCTTAGAAGGGAAGAGCTAAAGTTGTCTATTGATGTTGGGCTCCTGGGAGCACAGGCCCTGGAAGAAGCCATGTCCTACTGATGAACTTCACCTCCTCCATCCAGGCAGCCTCCTGGGGTGCCCCCTACCCCTCAGGCTGGGTTAGGGCGCCTCTAGTGAAAATGTCTGTTTAAGTCATGTGTCTGCCTTGCTTTGACTTGTTCACACTCAGTATTTGTGCAGTGGGAGTCTCCCTTCATTGAATGAATAAGGTTTCAGGACTGGAGGAGACCTGGGCAGGGGAACTTGGTATGATGGTGGTACAGACAGACCTATGAACTCACCCATGTTCACCCTCTGCAGCCTGTTGAGGCCCACAGGGGCAAAACGTGGGGGAAGTCAAGTGCCTTGCTGTATGCTTTGGGCTCTTAAAGGAGAATGGAACCATTAGCCATGGCCAGGGGCCAGGGCACCTGAGTTGACCCTGTAAGGGACATTCTTGAGAGTGGAGGCCAAGCTGGTACTGGGTGTGGCATTACTCTGGATCTGGAATGTAGTGGAACCAGTGGCTGGGCTGGTTAGGGCCCCAGGCTGCGGCCCCAGGCTCTGTCCCTCTCTGCAGTTTTGACAGTGTTCCAGAAGCCATCCTCCACCCCTCACTCCATGTACCACTATGTGAGTGAAAAGAAAATCTTTATTTTTCAGGAAGAGAAACAGAGGAGAGGAACTCAGACTTAGGAGGCTGGGGCCACGGGTCCATGGTTGTCCAGGTAGCGCCTCAGGGCTGTGGGATAATCTGTTATGACACCAGTAGCCCCCAGACTGAAGGCCACTTCAAAATCTGACTCTTCATTAAGGCACCAAAACACTACCTGAATGTGGAGGGAGGGGTTTATTAGTTTCCAAATAACTTTACACAGAACTTCCTCTTATGCCTCACACTTCCCCTTACACCCTACTGATATCTTGGAGTCTATGGGAGGAGCTTTCCTTCTCCTCTGCAGACAGCCTAGCAGTGGTGCTGAAGCTGATTAACTTTCAAGAATTTTGCAAACTTGTTCTTAAGTATAGCCATTATTAAAAGCTAAACTGTATAAGTTCACAATTAAAAAAATATTTAAAACAAAGGCAATCAATTCTCAATACTTACTACTTATTTTACTATTTCCTATGTTCTTTTTTTTTTTTTTTTTGGGGGGGGGTCCTAGGGTTAGAAACCAGGGTTGCTTTATCACTTACTATATCCTCAGTGCTTTATTCTTTATTTTAAAAATTTTTTATTTATTTATTTATTTTTGTGGTGCTAGGGATTGAACCCAGGGCCTTGTGCATGTGAGGCAAGCACTCTACCAACTAAGCTATATCCCCAGCCTTATTTTTTATTTTTGAGAAAAGATCTCGCTAAGTAGCTAAGGCTGGCCTTGAATTTGTGATCTTCCTGCCTAATCCTTCCAAGTCACTAGGATTACAGCTGTGGATCATACAGCCAGCTCTGTTTCCTGTGTTCTTGAGGTCATCTGTATCTGCTGAATCTATAAGATGGGACTACTATACAATGGTGTGCTATTGCACTTCTCAATTTTACATTTAATGACTTTGCATTGGTAGCCTGACATTGGCCATTGTGAGATTACTTAAGTCAGAGAAAGTAATATTCAAATCAGGTTTTTAATTTTTCCTCTTAGGGAGCCAGTTGTTGAATACTTGGCAGCTCACCAGGGCCTCCAGCCTGCCCCCTCCCTTGTTGTTGAACCTTCCCTGCATTTCTGTGGGTCTAAAGGCAGGTGCGGACAGCATTTTTATTCCAAGGAAGTCATTGAATGTCTTGATTTCTTCTTCCTTTTCCTCCTCCTCTTCCTCCCCTCCTCCCCCTCCTCCTTGCTCCCCCTCCTCCCCCTCCTCCTTGCTCCCCCTCCTCCCCTCCTCCTTGCTCCCCCTCCTCCCCTCCTCCTTGCTCCCCCTCCTTTTCTTTTCTAGTCCTCCTCCTTCCTTTTCTCCCTCCTCTTCCCTTTCCTCCCTCCTCCTCCTCTTCTTCCTCCTCCTTCTCTTTAGGTACTGGGGATTGAACCCAGAGGCATTCTGCCACTGACCTACATCACTGGCTCTTTAAATTTTTTATTTTGAGCAGGGTCTCCTAAATTGTCCAGGTTGACCAACTGTCAATCCTTCTGCCTCAAACTCCCAAGTAACTTAGATTACAGGTGCATGCCACCATGCCCAGCTGTTGATTTTTTTTTTTTTTTTTTGTACTGGGGATTGAACTCAGGGGGACTTGATCACTGAGCCACATCCCTGGCCCTATTTTTTGTATTTTATTTAGAGACAGGGTCTCACTGAGTTGCTTAGCACCTTGCTGTTGCTGAGGCTGGCTTTGAACTCGTGATCTTCCTGCCTCAGCCTCTTTAGCTGCTGGGATTACAAGCGTGCACCACTGTGCCTGGCTGTTGATTTCTTAGTTTGACAAATGAGGATGATGGTCCAAACTTCCAAAGTGGTAGTGAAGATCAGAGATATAAGAGGGCTGATCAGAAAGAGCCTTGTTATCCCAGGGCCTCACTCACCCCACATCCAGTCACTAGCCAAGTCCTCTTCCACCTGTCTCCATTACTGCCACCTAAGCCTGAGACCTGTCCAGGGTAGCATCAGATTCCTAGGATACTTTGCTTCCACTCCACCCCCCACAACATCTTCTTCATATGGAGGCAAAACTCAGAAAACCTCAACTGGATCAGCCCTCTCTACTTTGAAGACCCCCAAAGCTTCCCTTCCCTGTGACTGGAGTCCACACCCCTTTCTGAGCCTAGCAGGCCTGCCTGAGCCTGGGCCACTCTCGGTCACCTCCTCCAGGCTGTGGCCTGGGAGCTTTCCCAGTGTCTCTGCCAGCCTGGTCTTCTGCCTCTCCACCCTTCACACCTGCAGGCCTTCCTGCTCCCTGAGAGCCAGCTTCCTCCCATACTTCCTAGGCTGCTCACACCTCTCTTCTTCCAGATCTCACAGCCCTCTGCTTCCGTTTTTCAACAGGTGATGTAAAGCAGGTCTGGCCTGCTTGTTTCCTTCCCCTGCCCTTGATGGGAAGCTCTCATCCCCAGTCTGGAACATGCTCAACAAGGTTTGCTAATTAAGTGACCTGGTTAAAGCTGATCCTCAGGGATCAGGACAGTATGGTCATCTTCCCATGCATCATCTTCACAGTGCATCTCCTAGTACCAGTTACATACCCAGGAGGGTTATGTATACCATTCTCCCCATTTTGTGGATAAAGAAACAGACTCTGAAGATAATATGGCTTGCCCAAGTGATTCCACCATCAGCAGCAGAGATTGGGACCCCGATGCCAGGCCTGTGCCAGAGTGGTGTTCACATTCTCACCTGCACCCCTCGCTCTTGCAAGTGTTGGATCAGACTCTTTCTCATGATGATCCTGGGGATAGGGGCATGGAAAAGGTGACCATGAGACAGGACAAAGGAGAGGGTGGTAGCAGGTTGCTACTGGGACATTCAACCTAGTCTTCTTGCCCATCTCACCATTTTAAAACCACAGCTGCCAACTGGTTCAGCCCAGAGCAGGAAAATGGGAAGTAGGTCCTGTGAAGAGAAGGTGGATGGGGTCAGCCCATTGGATCTCCCTCTGTCATGGGGGTACAGCCCTGTCCCTGCAGAAGAACTTTTGCAGTTGCCCAAAGGAATAATCACCCATTGTTCAGCAAGATGCTATTCCGAGATCCCCAAATCCATGCTTCAAGGGTAAGCCCCCCATCTCACTTTTTTTTTTTTTTAATATGGGGATTGAACCCAGGGGCACCTAACCACTGAGCCATATCCCCAATCATTTTCTTTTTAATTCTTTTATTTTTTTTATGAGACAGAGTCTTGCTAAGTTGCTTAGGGCCTCACTAAGTCACTGAGGCTTTGAACTAATGGTTTCCTTGCCTCAGCCTCCCGAGCCTCTGGAATTACAGGCATGTACCACTGTGCTCAGCTTTATTTTTTATTTTGAGACAGGGTCTTGCTAAGTTGCTTAGGGCTTCACTAATTTGCTAAGGTTGGTCTTGAACTTGGCAATCCTCCTGCCTTAGCCTCCTGAGTTGCTGGGATCACAGACATGTGCCATGATGCCCAGTTCTACCTGTCTTATAGACAAGGAAATTGAGCCTTAGCAAACTAAAGGGATTTGCTGGAGGTCACGAAGCAAATCAGTGGTGGGGCTGAGGCCAGGGCTGGGGTACAGCTGGATTCTAAAGCTGGACAACCCACTTGGAGGTCCTCCTGGCAGTATCTGGTGAGCTTCTTGAGGCCAGATAGTGCTTAATGGGTTGGCTACTTGTTGCTAATTATCCCACTCCAGAGGTGACTTTAGAGGGTTTTACAACATTCCAAGGCAAGCAATGGAGTAAGACCTAGGATGCACCTGGGATCTGTACTTACAGCTGTGTGACCCTGGACAAACTCTCTGAGCCTCTGATTCTCTATGGATACTATGGGGGCCATGACTCCTATACCTCCTAGGGGCATTGCAAAGTAAGCATCAAATACACCAAAAGATGTGGAAACATTTTGCAAATCCTATATAAAAAGTTACACATACAAAGCTTTGTAGCAAGGGATTGTGGGGTTGGCTGAATGTACTGGAGGGTAGCAGAGAGCACTGGGGAACCACCCTAGTGGTTAGAAAGCAAAGGAAAAGCCAGGTGCAGGCCTGTAATCCCAGTGGCTGGGGAGGCTGAGGCAGGAGGACTGTGAGTTCAAAGCCAGCCTCAGCAATTTACTGAGCCCTAAGCAACTCAGCAAGACCCCGTCTCAAAACACAAAAAGGGTTGGGGATGTGGTGAAACACCAAACACCCCCGGGTTCAATCCCAGGTACAAAAAAAAAAAAAAAAAAAAGAGCAAAGGGAGGGGCCAGGCCTGGGAGCCAGGGAAGTACCCAATTCCGGATACTATGCCCAGTTGCTCCTTTGTTAATCCTGACTCCAGCCTGAGGAAGCTCCTTACTTTTTCCTTCTGAGAATCTGAAAACCAAGATGTTGAATAAGCCAGACTATAAGTTCACTGAAGGCCTGACCTACCCATGATTCTTATTTACTAGCTTAACTGCTACAGGACCAGAAAAGGCTGTCCATAAATGTTTTGGATGAATTTGGATGAATGAATGGTATCCAAGGAACCATCAAAGGAGCTTGGGCTCTTCCTCCATAGCAGACTCTGAGCTGGGTTCAGGGTTGCAAATGTGGCTTGAGTGGGGCCTGTTTTTCTGGGGCCCAGCTCCACCACTGGTACCTGTTGATGATGGTTGGCAGGAAGCAGAAGAGGAACTTCTCAGGGATCCGGATGAAGGGCAGCAGCCCCAGGTAATAGAGTAGCAGCACCCAGAATCCTCGGCTTATTGTGAAGGACAGTGGCATCTCAGGGTTCTGGGGAGGCCAGGACAGAAGTGAGAAGGGGGATCTATCTGCTTCTGGGGTAGCAGAGGGGAGGCATGGGCTGCAGGGGAACTATGCTGGACATTCAGGAGGCCCTAGTTACCTCTTGGCCAATGCTGGAGGCCTGAAGGTACCCTCTTCATTGCTACTACTAGTCCAGGGCTCACAATCCCACTGCCCCACCTCTCCAAATCCTGTTAAGGAGTCCCCTTTTCAAGTTTTTAAGGAGCTTCCCAGACCCTTCCAGCTTAGAGCCTTCTGGGTAGGTTGGATTCCAGCTTCTGGGAGGAGGAGCCATGGAGCAGGGAAGAAGAGGGACTCACGGCAGCCTTGCACTTCTTCATGATCGAGCTCTTTTCCGAGGCCCAGATGGTGATCTCATTGCGGTCAAAGCGCCTCACCAGGTCTGCTATCTAGGAGGAGGAGAGGGAGGATGACAGAGCCAGGTCTCTCTCTTGGGCTTGGGCTTGGGCTGTGCTCCTACCCCGATTGACTGCATTTTTACCTTGTAAATGAGCTCCTCATCCTTCTCCTTGATTTCCACACTCATGGGCACCTGTGGAAACCTCTGGAACATGTCCTCCAGACTCACCATGTGCCGGTCTGACCCATGGGCAAAGTGGCCTAGAAATGAGGACATGGGAAGCAGGATCAGAAAAGCATTGGTGGGATGGGGGCAGGAATTCAAGGAGGACCCAAGAAGGTGGCCCCAGCTTGCCAAGCACCTGCTCTCACCTGGTGAGAAGTAAACCTCCAGCTCCTCCTTGTAGAGGGGCAGCTCCTGGGAGAACAGGCAACATGTGGTCAGGGGCACACACTGGAGAAATGGCAACTTTGGGCGTGGGGGCGTGACCTACCTCAAAGTCCAGGCTTCTCACATCCTTATTTAGGCCTGACTGGCGGGACAGGTTCTTGTCGTGTGACACTACCACCACACCATCCCTTGTCAGATGGCAATCGAGTTCCAGGAGATCTGCTCGCTGGGTCATGGCGCTATGGGAGCAAAGATCAGTGGGGTGCAGGGACAGGAACAGTCCACACTAGGTGTGGGCACATGTGGGCAGAATTCATGGCAGGAATCTCAGGGCTCTGGGGAGGCCAGGACAGAAGTGAGAAGGGGGATCTATCTGCTCCTGTGCACACCTGCACACCTCTAGGGGGCTCCAGACACCCAGATTAGGACAAGAATAGCACTCTTGGGTGTCCCACAGTACACAACTGTGACAACCTTACGTGGCCACGTGGCCGGAAGGTGGACTTACTTCCTCATGGCCTCCATGGTGTTCTCCAGCAGCTCTCCGGAGCCTGTGAGGGGTGGCTGGGATGGGTTCCTGGTCCTGGCCCGACCTTATCAGCCACCTTCCCAGTTGCTGGCCTCCTTTCGGCCTCAGTCTCGTCTACCGCCAGCCCAGGTTGTGCTGGCCTCTCCTTCCCCATTCCCTGCTCGGCCCTGCCCCAGCTCTCTTCCTACCAGAGTCTTGGCCCTGCCTCCAGCATCCTGCCCCTCTGTGCTGCCCACTGTGGTGGCACCTGTCTTGCTAGCTTCACTCTACCCCCAGTAGCTGCCAGCTCTTCTCCCAGCTCACCTCCTCGGTGGGCCACCAGGCGGGGACAGAAGGCTGGGGCATGGGGTGTGTGCAGCAGGCGGGGCCGGCGCAAGAAGAAGATGGACAGTGTGATGTAGCCGCCCAGAGCAGGCAGGGCATAGTACAGCAGAGGGCTCATGGCCACACTCCTGTCTGCCTTCCCGATGCTCTGTCCCAATGGACTGCAGCTGTCCCAATGGACTGCAGCCTTGCTGCCTGCCTGGCTGGTATAGGCCGGCTCTGCTACTGGCCGACACCACGCCCCTGGGACTTGCTGAGCCTGATGCTGTGTAGCTGGCAGGCAGCCAGTCTGCAGGGCTCCCTGGGGCTGGGGTAGAGGTAAGAGTCCAGGCAGCCCAGGCCCTTATAGCCCCAGGCACCCCTCTGTCCTTAGCCGGGAGGGGAATAACATGTCCCCACACCTTAGGGTCTGTTACGAGTGTCCCCCCTTTCATGGGTGCTTGTGGCCAGGGTACACAACACACTGGCCCTTGCCATTTCCAGAGAATCTGGGGGTGTGTAGGGTGCCCTGAGTCACCCCCGAATCACCCCCCAGCCAGTTAGACAGGAAGCCATTAGAGAGGGAGAGGACAGTGACTAAGGGGAAAATTGACCCCACTCTTTCTAGGAGTCTGGAGCTCCTTATACCCACCCCATCCTCAACCCTGGCCACTGGTACCAAAGGTCACCAGGGCCATGTAAAGGCACAGCTGGGAAGCAGCTGGGTTGCAGCTCTCAGTCTTCAGGCAGTGTTGGCTAGGAGAGGGCGGCGGCGCACACAGACAGACCAGGGTGATCCATAAACACATCTCTATATTTATATATTAGATACAGGCACGGGGAGGTGGGCAGGGGCACGGGACTCTCCACGTGCCCCCGCCTCCAGTTCCACTCACCCACACACAGAAGCAGCAAGGGCGTTAAATGTGGCAGCTTTGAGGGGGGAGGGGGTTTAGGCCTGGGCTTGGCTCCTCAGGGATACTAGCCCTTGAGACTTAGGAATGTTCCTTCAGGGAAAATGGGTGGAGTTTTAATGAGGTGACTGGGACAGGGCTTGCCCTACTTAGTGCCCCTGCCCCTCGGTAGATCCTGGGGCAGCCAGGGCCTTTCTATTCCAGAACTTCCAGAGACTGGGCAAGATGGAGGCAGAGCAGCAGAGAGATTTGCTTTAGGGCCACTGAGCCCCCTAGGCCCACGGCTGGGTGGGATGGGGTGGGGTGGGGTGGGGAAAGGGAACAGGGATAGAGGTGAGAGGGAACCTCGGCCTGCCTGAAGCAGGAGACCCCAGCAGAGTGAGAGAAGGTAGCCAGGCCCACCCTTGGCCTGGGTTGCAGGGGTCTGGGCTGAGCACAGTGTCCATTTTCTAACAGTCCAGCGGGGAAGGGGCAGGCAGGAGGCAGGGCCTGGAGGAGGAAGCAGGCAGGAAAGAGCTGTTAGTGCTGGGAGAGAACCCAGTGCACCCTGACCCAGGCACCTCCCATCTCACCCTCACACCTGGTGCAATGTGTCTGCTTCCCTGTCTGCAGGTGGGAATACCACCAGCACCCATCACAGGGTGCTAGGGCTAAGTGCGTAGTGGGTGCTCATTAACCTCTCAGTACAGTGGTTAGGGTTCTGCGGGGCTGGTTCTCATAATCAGAAGGCCTCTGAGAACTGAGGCATAGAGAGGTAAGGTGTCTTGCACGACATCTCACAGTTTTTGTTAATTGCAAGAGATGAGGCCTGGGCCCCGGTGTGTCTGCCTTCCTTCCATCAGCCATAGCTGGCCAAGGAAGAGGCTGGATGAGGGAAGGAGTGCAGTGTGGGTGGGAGTAGTCCCAGCAGGTTCCCCTCAGGTGTGTGAACTGCTGACCTGAGAAACAGGTGTGAGGAAGCCTGGCATCTGGGCTAGCCAGGTGCTGTGGGGCTCCTCCCAAAGCAATCATGGCACCACTTGCTTCTTTGCCCACACAGGGAGAGTCAAAGGCTGGCTTGGCTCCTCAGAGCCAAGTGACTTATGGGGGTCTGAAGTGGTTTCTGGGTTGGGTGTTAACAAGTGGGAAACATATAGGGTTGGAGAATAGGGCTGGGTCATGAAGGACTGGTGGGCCATGAGTCTGGGCCCAGGCGGGCCTCCTAGGCCTTCTGTCACCACCATACATATGGATCATAGTGTAAAGCACATTTGTGACTTTTCTGAGGCATGCCGGGCACCCTTGTGTTAAGGTGAGGCTGTGTATGGGCAGTGAGGCCACTCACCAGGCCCCAGGGGGTAAGGACATCTGTCCAGGTTATGGGGCCTCTGGGGCCCCTGGCTGGAAGCGGGCTGTCTCCTGGAAGATGAGCTCTTTCAGCCTCTCCTTGGGTAGATCATCCAGCTCCATGTCAAAAGTGAAGGGCTCCTCGGCTACTGGCTGGGGTAGCAAAGACAGTAAAGCTTAGCACGGGCACTGGGGGATAGCTATTCCCTCGCCTGCCTGCCTGCCCTGCTGCTGGTGGCTGGCGCACCTCATCCGTGGGGTCATAGTACTGTTCCAGGTAGGGGTGAGCCAGTGCTTCTTCCACTGTGATACGTTTGTTGGGGTTGAAGGTTAACATCCGGTCCAGCAGGTCAAGAGCTAAGGAAGCACAGGAGGCAGGGGTCAAAGGAAAGGCTGGAGGAGCTCCCAGAAGCATCACTTTGCCCAGTTCCCAGAAGCCTGTCAACTCAAGACAGCTGTAGGGATCACCCACTCTTCTCCAGATCTAGGCTTTACCCAACTCCAGCACCTGAGTCTCTCTCACCTTTTGAGTCTGACTTGGGAAAAAGCTTGGCCCAGGCCACCTTGGTCTTGGAGGGCAGAGACTGTAGGTAGTTTCGGGCCTTCATGTTGATAATACAATTCAAGTCCTCTTGAGAAGGGGACCCCAGGATACCTGTGGGTAAGATGGAGGTCTTGGTGAGAAACCTCCTTCTCCTGGGAATGAACAGGCCAGGGAGGCAGGACAAGAGCCCCAGCCCACCCGCCTGCCCCAACTCCTCAGAGTCACCTCCCAGCCAACAGTATGGTGGAGAAGTGCAAGGGGTTGGGACTCATGCAGCCCTAGGTTCAAATCCTGGCTCCCACACTTCCTTGGGTGTTGGGTTTAGCCTTGCTTTTCCCATTTGTCAACTGGGGATACCTTGCTGAAACAATGTTGGATGCTGGAGGGACTCCACACATTGTGACACCCCTGACCCCGACCTCCAGAAATCTCACGTCTGATAAATTAATCCCCCTCAGCTAGCCAGGGCTCCCTCACCCAGAATGTGGTTGAGCTGGTCCAGGTAGTGCTTGCCGGGGAAGATGGGCCGATTGGAGAGCATCTCAGCCAGAATGCAGCCCACAGACCAGATGTCGATGGACTTGGTGTAGCCCTGGGGAGGGGGAAAGTAGTGGGCTCCTGGGCTGCCCTCAGCAAGGTTCTGTTGTCTGGGCCAAATACCAGGCAGAGGGCAGAGTGCAGAGACCTGGAGGAACCACTCTGCTCTTTCCGGAGGCCAAGGCCCAGAGGATAGGTGTCCTGTGTCACAGGGGTCAGGGGCCAGTGCCTGGGTCAGAGATGGCTCCAGGGCTTCCCTTCACAGGTCAGGAGCTCTCCTACCTTGGAGTTAAGCATGATCTCTGGAGCCCGGTACCAGCGTGTCGCCACATACTCCGTCAGAAAGCCAGTGTGGTCATGTTCAGGATCAGCAATCCTGGCCAGGCCAAAATCGCAGATCTGGAATCAAACCCAGGCTATTAAGCTTGGGTATGAGACTGCCACGGCCCAAGCAGTCACCCCGCTACGCCTCATCTATGCTGTCCCCTTGCCTGCCATGCTCCAAAGCTCCTGGTCACCTGGCAGCCCCAGGGGAGGAGGGAAGGCACTCAACCCTCTGACCTTAAGGTCGCAGGTGGTGTTGATAAGCAGGTTGGAGGGCTTTAGATCCCGGTGGAGCACATTGGCTGAGTGGATATACTTGAGGCCCCGCAGGATCTGGTAGAGGAAGTAGCAGATATGGTCATTGCTCAGCTGTTGGCTTTTGAGCAATTTGTACAGGTCTGTCTCCATCAGGTCCTGCACAATATAGCTGAGGATGGCTCCAGAGACCCCCAGGTGGGGGGTGGCAGGAGGCACTCGTTAAGGAAAGCAAGCTCTGGTGAGTAGGCCACACATCCCATCCTGCAGGGGTCCCTTGGCCTCTTGGACTCACCAGCTGGGCAAGACTCAGAGCCTCTGTTGCAGCTCAGCTGGTGACCCTGAGCAAGGCATTTCTGTTCTGTGGCCTCAGTTTCCCTAATGGGGAAGTGAGGATATTAATAAACTGCAGCAGGCAGAAGAACTTGAACTGTAAAGAGCAGCAGCTCAGGAATTAACCCACTGATATCCAAAATCCCCATTCTGCTTCTTGCTGGCTTTATGATCTTTGCCTGTCTGTGCCTTGGTTTCCTCACCTGGTGAGTAGAGGAAGTAACTGTTCTTTAGAGGGTAGCTGGAGGAGATGACCTCTCTAGAGCAGTCAGTCCAGAGCTTGGCACACTGGAAGTGCTCAGCAAACATCAACTCTTATTGTTAATATAAAAGCCTGAGCCACATGGCTGTTGAGGGGGTTAAATGAGATAATGTATGAACACCATCTGGCATGCAATAAATGTTTGCTTAAAAATAAATGCCTGCCTTATGGGAATGGTTTGTGCCAGAAAAACGAGAAGACACTCCCAACAGCGTGCTCCTACTCAAATAAGAGTGCCTGGCTATACATCAGAAGATGGAGGAGTAAATGTCCTTTTATACTTGAAGATAAAACAAAGATTAAACATAAATAAAGAAATAAATGCCACTTGGCTTGCCTCTGGAAGAATAAGTCATAACTTTCTTTGAGAGAGAACATCTAGACCAATCCTGCTGTTTTATAGATGGGGAGGTCCAGAGAGATGCAGGGACTTGCTCAAGGTCACAAAGCAAGCTGGGATGTGGAGATTTTCTGTCTACACGGTAGAGGGCTGCAGAGGCTGTGAAACAAATCCTTATTTTCGGGTAGAGGCCTGGGACTAGCAGGGGTGGGTGGGGAAAGAGGTGATGGGTGTTACAAGTTGCTAACAACCAAGCCAGGCAGGAAGTAGACTAGCTGGGCAATATTGAGGGAGGGTAACAAAGGCTGGGCTGTAGCTCCCAGGGCAAGGTGCAAGTCCACAGGTGACTAGGGTGGGGCTCTGAGCGGGAAGTCTCAGGGAAAGAAGGACCAGTTCCCATCTGGGGGAGGGGAGAAGGCAGTAACAGAAACACCTGATTCTAGGCTTTTTGGGCCTCAGTTTCCTCATCTTTGAAATGGAACTGATAAGGTCCATCTCCTAAGGCAGCTGGGAGATAGAATAAAAGTTGTCAAAACACTTGCCATACACAGTACCTGTCACAGAGTAGGCCAGCAGAAAAGGCAGTTTTCTTTCCTACTGCCTTCCTTCCAGTCTGGGGACCCAGACTGGAAAGAATCATCAGTCTGTTAAGCAAGAACTGACTGTGGGCAGAGGCTGGGTCATATCACAGAATTACAGATGTCAGAAGACAAAGCTCCCATAGAGACCATCTTGCCCAGCCACCCTCCACCCCACTGGGGCAGCGGGCAGAGAAGGACTTGTCCAAGGCCACCCTGCCAGGCTACAGCAGGCCAGGAGTGACCTGAGCCCTCCTGGTCCTCTTCTGCTCTATGGCCTCTCCTCTGCTGAAAAGTTTCTTTTGCTGGGTTTGTTTTGGAGGGTGGTAGGGAAGATGGAAAAAGAAAGAAAGCCAATGTTCCCCAGCCCAGCTTTGAGGCTGTGCCTGGCCAGGCTGGCCAAGGTGAAGGATACACATCTCTCATGGCTTCCAGTGTAGGTGCCCGAAGAATGTCTCGGATGCCTATGACATTCTCATGGCGGAAGCGCAGCAAGATCTGGATCTCTCGTAGTGTGCGCTGGCAGTAGGTCTGATGCTCGAAGGGGCTGATCTTCTTGATGGCCACTCGAGTCTTGCGCACATGGTCATAAGCTGAGCTGAAAAGGGGTCAGGGAGATGTTGCTGGACTTACAAAGGGGGAATCCAGGCCTGGTGGCCCCACCCAAGCCTTGGCAGGGAGGCGAGGGAGCAGGAGAGGGCTCTGGCCAAATCATAAACAATGCTGGTTCCTTCCTGCTGTGAAAGCCTGGGATCTCCAGGGAGAAAGCTGGGGACCAGCCAGGAGGCCTTTCAGTGACTTCACAAACAGAGGAAGAGACTGACCACTCACTGACTTCCCCTCTCCTCTACCCGCTTCCATTCTAGTTGCCCTGACCCTTTCTCTGCCCTTCCCAAGTTGGGCTCCCTGAACTCTAGATAGGTAGTCCGGGGTGGGAGATGAGTGGAGGAGATAGATGAGGCAAAAACTGCGAGGAGGAGGCAGTTGGTGGAGGGCAGAAAGAAAGGATAAGAAGGGGTGGGTTTCAGGGTGGGGTAGCTGGACAGCAGAGCTGTTCTCATAGGAACAAAAGGCCTAGAGCACACAGCCTGGCAGGGAGAAGTCACAGACCCCAACCAAAAGATGCAGGAAGGCACTGCTGACACCCTCATCCTACATCAGGCCCCTGGTAGGACAGGATGGAGGGGGGTGCAAAGCCATGCCCCACCCTGAGCCCTGCTCTTCTCTCCCACACTCCCTGGCCCAGCCTCACTACAAGAACCTAAGGCATCTCCCCCCCAAAAAAACACGGTCCTTCACTCTCCCTTCGCCAATACTTACGCTCTTAGCCTCATCCCGTGTCCCTAAGGTCCCCAAGGTGCTCACAACACCCCCACGTCACTTAGATGCCCCTCACTTCATTATAGAAGGGCTGGTTCAAAGCCTCCAAGCCCCTACAGGGGGGGATGTAGGCGACGCCCCCCCACAAGCACTCCAGGGCCCCCTCCCTGGGACACTCCCCGAGCCCCCAGAGTCCCGTCTCTTCGGGACGCCCGGAGTCTCCCTGTCCCAGAAAACACAGGGACGTGCTTTTCCCCTCCTTTGAAGCCCCCTCCCCATATGGCCCCCTCCCCCGGAACGCCCCCTCACCTGACCATGCCGTACGCGCCCTCGCCGATGTACTGCAGTTGCGTGTAGCGCGGGCCCACGTCGAACGGCTGCCCCTTCACGATCTCGACTTCCCCCGGGACCCCCGGGCAGACCCCAGCGGCTCCCCGGGGCTCCCCGCCCCCGCCCCCCTGAGCCGCCGCCGCCGCCGCCATCTCCACTCCTCCCCTCCCTCCCCGGCGGCCCCGCCCGAGGCCCCGCCCCTTCCCGCCCGCCCTGTCACCCGCGGGGCCGCGCGCGCCAGGCCCCGCCCCCGCCGCCGCCCCCGCGCAGGCTCGCGGCCGTCACGCGACCCGCCCCGCGCGCGCCCGGCTTTCCCGCCGTGGTGCCCGGGTCCGCGTCCCCCGCCCGCTCGCTCGCTGTGCTCCATTCGGACCGGAGGGAGGCTCGGCCAGGCGGGCCCGGGAGCCGATCCGCGTCCTCCCCTAGATGGCGAGGCAGTCGATTATGCCAGAGCCACCCAGCGAATGTGTCTGGAGCCAGGACAGAACCAGACGGAGCCTGGCCTATGGAGCGAGGGCTGCAGCCCCAGGGGCAGTCGCCCAGCGGTTCCACACGGTCTTTGTAGTTTACCTCCCTGAGCCAGCTCTGCTCTAGTGATTATAGAAGGGCTGGTTCATCCCTGTTTCACAGTGGCCCTGGAAGACCTGCTTCTGACCTCTTGTAGATGAGCCAATGCAAGCCTGGGGGGTGGCTGATGACTTGAAGTCACTCAGCTCTACTGAGAGCTGGTGAACCCAGGGGTCCGGACTCCCAGCCTAGTGTATTTCGGACAAGAGGCCTGCGGAAGTGGGATATGGAGCCTAATCTTGCCAACCACTCTGCCACACAGGTCCTCTGTCTTTTTGCCTGGAGGCCAGAATTCCAGCCCACCTCACCTGAGAAATGCGAAAGCTGCGATGTTGGCTGCATTTAATTAAAACATGCTCTCAGTCTTTAAAAAAAAAAAAAAAAATTCAGAGTTTGTGTTGGATTTGACAAAACTGGGGTCCTATTAAGATCATCATTTTTTTTTTTTTCTGTAACTTAGACAACCCAACAATACAGGTCTCATCTGATTGTTGTGGCTGCAAGAGCAGAGGCCTAGTCTTTTTCATGGTCTTGGTACTGTATCTGCGGTGCCTGGGACTCTGATGTTCAAAATCTTCTTTTGAATGAATGAATTGATTTATAGACTGGAAATCTGAGATTTAGGTTGACTTACTGGAGTAAGGCCCTGTAATAGTGACAGAGCTGAGACTCAAAATGATGTTTTCTGACACAGAGATACAGGCCCTTTCTAATCCATACTGTCTCAGGATCAGATTGTTCAAACTGAAGAAGCGGACCTCGGGGACCACCGAATCCATCCCCATCATTTCCCAATGAAGACGTGAGCTGGAAGCCTAACACAAATCCTTGTTTTAGTAAGTAATCACATTGTTTTTTCTCCCTGGGAAGCTGGGAGTAGGTCCTTGTACGCATTACAGATCAAGAGACAAAATGGAACAGTAATTATGATTCTGAAATTGCTCATAATTAGATCCATGGCTAGGCACTCTAACTCAGATTAATGAGACTGAGTTGCTGATTCCCAATAGCTTATAACTCACTAAAGGTTTAAAAAGTACTAATTAGATCAGTGATGTTTTTAGTTATTCACTTGATAAACTTATTTTTTTGTACTGGGTATTGAACCCCGGGGCACTCAACCACTGAGCCACATCTTCAGCCCTTTTTTATATTTTATTTTGAGACAGGGTCTCACTGAGTTACTTAGGGCCTCTTTAAGTTGCTGAGGTTAGCTTTGAACTCCTGATCCTCTTGTCTCAACCTCCCGAGCAAGCGGCTGGGATGACAGGCCTTGGCCACTGCACCCGGCTACTTCATAAACCATTAAATGGCCCTATAAACAAGCACTGAGCTAGGCACTATGGCTGATGAAGACTACTATAGTGTGGATTTATTGCTAAAAGGAAGAACTTACTGGAGACAGATTGCCTGGATTAAAATCTCATTTTTGCCACTTATTTGCTGTGTGGCCCTGGACAAATTACCTACCAGATTCAGTACTCATGGAGCTTCTAATCTATTTAAGATGCACATACATAAATCAAGTTAATGTTAGATGAATGAATATAGTAAATACATAATATGTGAGTTCAGGGATAGGCAAGATTGTTCTTTCTGGAGAAGTGAGGAGGGTAATGGGGAGGTGGCTTTGTGTGTGTGTGTGTGATACTAGGGATTGAACCCAGGAATGCTCTACCACTGAGCTCCATCCCCAGCCCTTTTTATTTTTTATTTTGAGACAGGGTCTCCTTAAATTGCTGAGGGTGGCCTTGAACTTTCGATCCTCCTGCCTCAGCCTCCCAAATCATTGGGATTACAGGCATGCATCATTGTGTCTGGTTGGGGGAGGTGGCCTTTGAACCACTGAAAGATAAATTAGGTTGCAGGAGGTCGGAATAGAGGAAGAGCATCAAAGACAAGAAACAGCACATGCTGAGATACAAAGTCAAGAGTGTAACTTGTCCAGAGTAGCTGCACAAAAAAAGATCTAGGGGAGTATCAGGTAGGCTGGGGCCAGATTGAGGAAGGCCTTGGGTTTTGGCAGAGTTTAGATGTTACTCAGTAAGCAGTAAAAGCCCTTGAGGGATTTTTGCCAGATCATTTTGCAACCGCGGGAGAATATAGTGACTCAGAGAAAGCACCATGGAGTTCAGCTTGGAGCCAGGCTTCCTGAGTGGGAGTGAGTTTACCGGCATGGGAAAGGCTGGTATGTCGGGGAGCAGGCAGCCTGCCACCTCATGCTGCCAGGGCCTCTTTAAAGGAGTGTGACCGAGATTCCCCTCTAGTGGCTGAGGTTGGTATTTCCTTAGGGGATTGGGATTTCTATTTCATATTCAATCAATTCTGTGCCAGGTGACTTTATGTACATTACCTCCTATAATCCTCACAGTGGCCATAGAAAGCAGATGCTACCAGCATTTAGTGGGAAATAGCAGCCACTTAATGAACTAGAGATGGAAAGGGCTTGGGAATCAATTTTTCACCAGGTGGTTGGTTATCTCAAGCTCACTGCATTGTTAAAAGTTTTTGTAACAGGTCCTGTTTGGCCTTCTCCTTTCTCCTTTGTCATTTGGATAAACTTAGACTAAATCTTTCCTTTTTTTTTTTTTTTTGAGGGGGTAGTACTAGGAATTGAACTCAGGTGCACTCAACCACTGAGCCACATCCCCAGCCTTATTTTGTATTTTATTTAGAGACAGGGCCTCATTAAGTTGCTTAGTGCCTCAATTTTTGCTGAGGTTGGCTTTGGACTTGCAAACCTCCTGCTTCGGCCTCCCTAGCTCCTGGCTTAGACTAAATCTTAAACTACTTATCTTTTTATGATTTGGAGGTCTGGCAGGTTGAAGAAGAGAATGAATGATGCTAAGAGAATAATAGTGATATTAACCTAAAGAGTTCAGGCAGGAAAAATACAGTTTGGGGAGGAAAGAATAACTTTTTGTTTTTCAGTGCTGAGGTTCAAAGCCAGGTCCTTGCACATGCTTTACCACTGAGATACAAGCCCAGTCTTCTTATATTCTCTAATATGTGAAGAAGTGTTACAAGAAAAATGTAACAGGTTTTTGTTTTTGTTTTTTTTTTTTTTTTGGTACTAGGGGTTGAACTCAGGGGCACTTTCCCACTGAGCTACATCCCCAACCATTTTTATTTTTTATTTAGAGACAGGGTCTAAGTTGCTTAGGACCTGCTAAATTGCTGAGGCTGACTCTGAACTTGCTATCCTCCTGCCTCAGCTGTCCGAGCTTCTGGGATTACAGGTATACACCACCGCCACAGCCCTTTTTAATTTTTACTTCAAGACAGGGTCTTACTGGGTTACTGAGGCTGATCTTGAACTTTGATCCTTCTGCCTCAGCCTCCTGAGTCACTGGGGTTATAGGCTTCATCTTTTTTTATTGTTTATGAACTTGACACTTTTGAAGATTACAAGCTAGTTATTTTGTAGAATATGCCTCAGTTTGGTTTTGTCTGTTTCCTTGTAATTTTTCTACTTCATTTCCCCTTATCATTTTTTTTTTTTTTTTTTTAGAGATGGGGTCGTGCTATGTTGCTCGGCTGGTCTTGAATTCCTCCTGCCTCAACCTCCAGAGTATTTTGGACTACGGGTTCACACCACCATGCCCAGCTTTGTACTATTAGTATTAGTCAACTCCTCTCCTTCAGTCTCCTCAGACAAGCCTAAACCACAGCCCTGATTAGGTTTGTATTAGGCAGGAATCTTTCAGTAACAAGTGGTCAGAGATCCAGTTCAAATTGACATAAGCAAGAAAGGAAATTTGTCAGCTCATTTACTGAAAAGGTCAGAGGTAAATATGAAGGCACTGTTGGCCTCAAGGATTCGAACAATGTCTTTAGGACTTTGGTGTCTCTCTTAGCTTCCTTTTCTGAATTGATTCCTTTTCAGGCAGCCCCTCCTCTCTCTCTGGCAAGATGGCTGCCAGCACCTTTCAGATCCATGCATGATTATTTTTCAGGAACTCAGCAGGGGAAAACTCTTCTTTCTTTGACTCTTTCCTTCTGTCTCTCTGTCTTCTTATAACTAAAGTCCCAGATTTATTTCTGCCTAGCTACTAGTTGTTTGGAGCCTGGGCAAATCCTTGAATCTGGATCAGTGTGGGCTTGGTGGTTTCCTCTACAGACCCATGGAAAATTGGGACATTGTTCCCATAAAGTCTTGGTCAGATAACATAGTAGTGTCTGTTACAACATTTTTCTGTTTAGAAACTTTTAATTCCTCCAGTTGACTATGAAATGAAGTCCAAATTCTTTTATTATCATTCAAGGCCCAATGACTTGGATCCAGATCTTTTCAGGCTCATTTCCTAGATGAAACTTTTCCTGTAGCCCAACAGAGTCACTGAAGAGCTTTCATATCATCATCCCCATTCCTGTTTCTGCTCCTTTGATCATTCTGTTTCTGTTAGACTTTGGATTCCTTATGCAGGAGCATCCAAGTAATGGAATCCTTTGCATTGGTAGGATTAGCTCAAATGCCACTTCCTCCTGAAGCATTTCCTGATATCCTCCCAATTTCTGCATCTGTTTCATGCTGTGGGATAAGCGGCAGATTTGTACTATATTTACTTATGTATTCATTCTGCCCTCCCTATTAGAATGTATTTTTTTGGGGGGTGTGATACTGGGGATTAAACCTGGGGTCCTTTACCACTGAGCTGTACCCCTAGCCCTTTTTATTTTATTTTTTAAATTTTGAGATAGGGTCTCGCTAAGTTTTCCAGGCCTCACACTTGCAATCTTCCTGCCTCCGCTTCCTGAGTCGCCGGGATTATTGGTGTGCCCCACTGCAGCTGGCTAGATTGTACAATTTCTTGAAGGCCATAATGCAGGTGTCTTTTCTTTTAAAACCTCTTCAATATCAAGTAGTATTTTGCACCTGATATATATTTGTTCCATGAGTGGATTGAATATTTATGGCATGGTCTTCATACCCTTTATATGGGAATCCCTTTCTGAATAAGCTCATGTTACTGGGCCACTCGCCACTCAAAAGCCAGTACTTGGAAGATGAGGGTTTTTAAAAAATTTTGAGACAGGATCTCACTAAGAAGTTTCTTAGGGCCTCCCTAAGTTGCTGGGACTGGTTTTAAACTTGTGATCCTCTTGCCTCAGACTCCTGGGCTGCTGGAATTAAAGAAATGTGCCACCACACCTGGCTTTACTTGAAATTTTTAATTTGAAATTAAATATGAAATAGATATCCTCTTTTAACAAGGAATTAAAATGGGAAATTTGAGTGACTTGCACTCTAGTCCACATATTTTTTTAAAAAGTTTTTTTATTAGTTCTTTTTAGATATATATGACAGTAGAATATATTTTGATGTATTTACATACACGGAGTATAGCTTCCTATTTTTGTGGTTGTACATGATGTGGAGTTTCACTGGTTGTGTATTTATATATGAACACAGGAAAGTTATGTCTGATTCATTCTACTGTATGCTATTCCCATTTCCCAACCCTTCCCTTCATCTCCCTTTGTCTAAAGTCCATTTAATTGATAAGCCTCAGGTCTTGGACTCAAACCCACATCTGTCTGACTATAAAACAGAGGCTGTAGGGCTGAGGTTGTGGCTCAGTGGTTGAGCACTTGCCTTGCATGTATAAGGCACTGAATTCAATCCTCAGCACCACATAAATAAATAAAAAAAGATATTATATCCATCTATAACTAAATAAAAAAACAGAGGCTGTAAGTAGGAGACTTCAGCCCATATTCAGCTCTATTTTGCTTTTCCAGATTTTATATGGTATGTAATGTTTGTGATTGATTTTTACAATTAATATAACATTTTTGAGATTCATCTATGTCACATACCTTAATACTTCATTTCTTTCTTTCTTTCTTTTTTCTTTTTTTGGTACCAGGGATTGAACTCAGGGACACTCGACCCCTGGGCCACATCCCCAGCCCTATTTTGTATTTTATTTAGAGACAGGGTCTTATTGAATTGTTTAGTGCCTCACCGTTGCTGAGCCTGGCTTTAAATTCTTTTTTTTTTTTTTTTAGAGAGAGAGAGAGAGAAAATTTCAATATTTATTTTTCAGTTTTCGGCGGACACAACATCTTTGTTTGTATGTGGTGCTGAGGATCGAACCCGGGCCGCACGCATGCCAGGCGAGCGCGCTACCGCTTGAGCCACATCCCCAGCCCCTGGCTTTAAATTCTTGATCCTCCTGTCTTGGCCTCCTGAGTCACTGGGATTATAGGCACGTGCCATTGTGCCTGGCTTAATACTTCATTTCTTGAAATCAACTTTTTTATTGAGGTATAAATTGCATACCATGAATGAGTTAAACATCATTACCTTAAGTACATGTATGAAGACACAAATGGTGTGAACATACTTTGTGTACAATCAGTGACTTGAAAAATTGTGCTCTATTTATGAATGAAATGAATTGTATTCTTCCATCATGTATAACAAATTAGAATAAATAAATAATAATAATAAATAAATTGCATACCATAAAATTTACCCCTTGTTTATTTGGTGCTGGGGATAGAACTCAGGGTCTCATGCATGCTAAGCACATGTTCTACCACTTAGCTACACCCCCAGTTTCCAAATTCACTATTTAAAATGTATAGATCAGTATTTTTTTTTTTTTTAGAGAGAGAGAGAGAATTTTAATATTTATTTTTTAGTTATCGGTGGGCACAACATCTTTGTTTGTATGTGGTGCTGAGGATCCAACCTGGACCGCACGCATGCCAGCCGGGCACGCTACCGCTTGAGCCATATCCCCAGCCCCTAGATTAGTAGTTTATATGCCATTCACAAGACTGTGCAATTAGCACCACTGTCTAATTCCAGAACATTTTTATCATTCCCTAAATTAACTTGCATACCCATCAGTGGTCACTGCCCACATCCCTGCCCTTCAGCTTCTGACCACTACTAATTTGCCTCTGTCTATTCTTTTGAATCTGGCTTATTTCACTTAACATGATGTTTTCGGAGCTAATCCCAGTTGTGGCATTTATCAGTACTTTGTTTCTTTTTACATTGGAACAATATCCTGTTGCATGGGCAAACCATATTAAACCCAGGAGCATTCTACCACTGAGCTACGTTTCTAGCCCTTTCTATTTTTTTTTTTTTTTTTGAGACAGGATCTTACTTAATTGCTTAGGGCCTCACTAATTGCTGAGGCTGGCCTGGGACTTGCAACCTTTCCACCTCAGCTTTCCAAATTGCTGGAATTATGGTGTGCACCATTGCACCTGGCTCTGCTATGAACATTGTGTTTTTTTTTTTTTTTTTTAAAGTTGTTGATGAACCTTTGTTTAATTTATTTATTTATATGTGATGCAGATAATTGAACCCAGTGCCTCACACATGCCAGGCAAGCCTCTACCACTCAGCCACAACCCCAGATCCTGTTATGAACGTTTGTATAAGCATTTTTGTGCAAATATATCTAGAGTTCTCTTGGATGTATATCTACAAGTGAAATTGCTGGATCGTATGCTAACTCTATGTTTAATTTTTTAAGGAGCTGTCAAACTGTTTTCTATACCAGCTGCACTGTTTTACACCACTACCAGCAGGATATGGGAGTTTCAATTTTCCTAAGTCTCTACCAACTCTTATTATTATCTGACTTTTTTGTTATATTCTTTCTAGTAGATGTGAAGGGGTATGCTTATTGGCCATCTGAATATCTTTTTTGGAGAGATGTCTATCCAGTCCCTTCCTTGTTTCTCTTTCTCTCTCTCTCTCTCTCTCTCTCTCTCTCTCTCTCTCTCTCTCTCTCTCTCTTTCCTGGTACTGGGAATGAAACCCACAGGTACTCTACCACTGAGCCACACCCCCAGCCTATTCATTTTTTTAAAAAATTTTTTATTTTGGGATAGTGTCTCACTAAGTTGCTGAGGTTGGCCTTGAACTTGCGATCCTCCTGCTTCAGCCTCCCAAGCTGCTGGGATTACAGCAGTGCACAGCCACACTGTTTGTGATTTCCTTTTGACTCATTGGTTATTTAATAGTGTTGTTTAATTTCCACATGCTCGTGAATTCCCCACATTTCTTTTTATTATTAATTTCAAATTTTATTTCTTGTGATTAAAAAACATACTTTATATGGTTTTGAATTTACTGAGGCTTACTATGGCTTAGCATATGGTCTGTCCTGGAGAACATTCCCTGAGAATTTGAAAGTACATGTATCTGCTATTGTTGGGTAGAACAATCTCTGGATGCCTCTTAAGTCCAATTTGTAGACATTATTGTCCAAGTCTTCTGTTTCCCTGTTCTTTTACTGCCTTGTCCTTCTGTCTAGTAATAAAAGTGGGCTATTGAAATCTCTAACTATTATTGAATTTTCAACCCCCCACACAATTCTGTCAGATTGTGCTTCACATATTTTGGTGTTCTATAGTTAGGTACATGAAATTATATTTTTTAAAAAATATTTTTTAGTTGTAGATGGACACAATACCTTTATTTTATTTATTTATTTTTATGTGGTGCTGAGGATCGAATCCAGTGCCTCACACCTGCCAGGCAAGTGCTTTGCCACTGAGCCCCAGCCCCAGCCCATAATTACATTTTCCCCTCCCTGATAGAGTGACATTTCTATCACTGTAAAACATCCTTCTTTGGCTGTAGTAATATTTTTATTTGAAAAGTCTGTTCTGTCTGATATTAGTATTTTATCTATCTCTATCTATCTATCTATCTATTTATATCTATATCTATGTAATTTTTTTGGGGGGTGGGTACCGGGGATTGAACTCAGGGACTCAACTACTGAGCCACATCCCGAGCTCTGTTTTGATTTTATTTAGAAACAGGGTCTCACTGTTGCTGTGGCTGGCTTTGAACTCAAGATCCTCCTGCCTCAGCCTCCTGAGCCACTGGGATTACAGGCATGAGCCACCATGCCCGGCTGATATTAGTAGTGCTACCACAAGTTTCTTAGGGTTGCATGATATTTACTTTTCCTCCTGTTATTTTCAACCTATTTATATCTTTGAGACTGAGGTGTGTCCCCTGTAGATTATCCAGTCTGACAATATTTGCTTTTTGATTGCTTAATCCATTTACATGTGATATTATTGATATGGTTGGATTAATAAGTGCTGTTTTTTGTTTTATTTTTATATGTCTCATGTCTTTTTTGTTTCTCTATTCCTCCTTTACTGCTTTATTTTGCATTAAATGAATATTTTCTTGTGTAACCTTTAAATTCTTTTAATTATCATTTTTAAATGTTTTTTTTTAAATTGTTGTTTAAAAAAATTTTGTAGTTGTATATGGACAGCATGCCTATATTGTATTTGCTTAGTTTTGTATGTGGTGCTAAGGATTGAACCCATGCTAGGCAAGCGCTCTACCACTGAGCCCCAGCCCCAGCCCCTTAATTATTTTTTAAAATATATTTTAGTTATTTCTTTAACAGGTGTTTTAGGATTATCTGTCTATTTCAGAATCTACTTCCAATTTATACTAACTTAATTCCATTGAGATGTAGAATATCCCTCCTTCTCTCTTCCCCAACTCTGTGCTGTTGTTACATATATTGTTACTTTATAAGCCCCAGAATATATTACATTGTTATAATTGTTGCTTTAGTTTTGTTTTATTTTATTTTTTTTGGTGGTAGTAGAGATTGAACCCAGGGGTATTTTACTCCCGAGCTACATTCTCAGCCCTTTCTTGTTTTTATTTTGAGGCAGCGTCTTGCTAATTTGCTGGGGCTGGCCTTGAACTTGTGATCCTCCTGCCTCAGCTTCCTGAATCACTGGGATTACAGGCATGGATCACCATGTTCGACTGATAAGTTTCTGTCTGTAAACTGAGGGATAAAAAAGGGGAGTGATTGAGTATGCATAGTTTTTCTTATTTGACTCATCATTTGTGATTCAAGTCATTGCCATCTGTCATGAGCTATCCATGGGCTGTGTGTGGGCCACTGTCCATTGAGCCTAGTGAATAGGAATGACTCTCATACTGTAAACAAGTGTCTGGTGGACATTTCCTCTGGTTAACAGCCCTGACACATTAGGTCTTGCTAACTTGCTGGAGTTGGCCTTGAACTTGTGAACTTGTGAACCTCTTGCCTCAACTTTCTGAACCACTGGGATTACAGGCGTGGTTCACCATGCCTAGCTGCTAAGTTTCTGTCTGTAAACTGAGGGAAAAAAAGGGGGAGTGATTGTCTCTGCATAGTTTTTCTTATTTGTCTCATAATTTCTGGTTTTCATAATTTGTTTCTGTAGTTCAAGTTACTGCCATCTGTATCCTTTGTTTACTTCATATACTTTGGTCCCACCCACCTGTGCCATTGTCAAATGCATTATATTCATATATATTATAGACTCAGCAATAGAAGTATATATATCTATTATAAATGTAATATATATAATATAAACATATGTATATAAAATTTTTTATATATATCTATAGTTGCATATGGTTGCTTTAAAATCATTTAAGGGAAGAAAAGAAAAATATACATTTATATTGTCTTTTGTACAACATAATCACCTTTATTGATGCTCTTTGTTTTTCAAGTGGATTCATATTTCCATCTAGGTTTTCTTGCTCTCACCTTGAAGAACTAATTCTAGTATTTCTTATAAGTCTGGTCTGCTGGCAGTGAGCTCTCTCTCAGTTTTTGTTTATCTGGGAATGTCTGTCTGTCTTTCTCTTTCATCCTCTGCTAGGGATGAAACTCAGGGACTCATGCATTGCTAGGCAAGCATTCTACCAGTGAGCTATGTCCACAGCTCTTTGAGAATGTATGTCTTCTTGTGAAAGATAGTTTTGCTGGATGTAAGATTACTTCGGAGGCTGAGGTAAGAGGATTAAAAGTTTGAGGCCAGCTTCACTCAGCAATTAGACCTGTCTCAAAATAAAAAATAAAAAGGGCTGGGGATGTAGAAAAAGAAAAAAAAAGATTTCTTGGTTGACTATCTTATTCCTTCTCTAAAGTTGATCTTAATCTCTTCAAAGATTTATATATTTGTGAATTCACTTACCTGCTAAAATTTATCTGTAACTTCAGAATCAATACTCATGTTGCTTTCTTCCCTTCTTTTCCTCTTTGTTACTCCCCGCCCCCCTCTTTCTTTCTTTCTGTCTTTTTGATACTGGGATTTGAGCCCAGGAGTGCTCTACCAACAGAGCTACATCCCCAGCCCTTTTACTTTTATTTTGAGACTGGGTCTTGCTAAGTTGCCCAGGCTGGTTTTGAACTTGCAATCCTCCTGCTTCAGGCTCTGGAGTTGCTGGGATTACAGCTGTGCAACACTGCACCTGGCTCATGGTGCTTTCATGGTCATTCATGGACATGTGCAGGTCAGTAAAATATTTAGGTCACCAGGTACATAGTCACAGTTGAGGTTGAACAGATCATGGTCTGCCGTTTTGTTTCAGCTCTCATACTATAAACAAGTGTCTTTTTCATGGTCTAATGTCACAGTTTTGTCCCTTTTTGTTGGTGCTTTCATTGTTTAATATAACCTGCAAGTATAGTGCTGATGTGCTGTGTAGTGTTCCTTGGCTCAGGAAGGCTGTGGTGTGCTTATGGAGAAAATACCCGGGTTTGGGGGCTGGGGTTATAGCTCAGTGGTGGAGCCTTTGCCTAGCATGCCGAGGCCCCAGCCAGGTTCAGCCTCCAGTACTGCAAAAACAAGCAAACAGGCAAAACACCTATGAGTTCATAAGATTCATTCAGGAGTAGGTTTGATATTGTTAACCATGAGTTCCGTAATAATGAATCAGTAATATACATTAAAGAAGGTTTCTTTCAGTAGAAACACACATAAAACAAATGATCCACTGACAAAAGTGTTGTAGACCATAGGCTGACATGAATTTAACCCTGTATTTCCCCAGGGGCAATGTTCAATATTTGCTAATTCAGTGTTTGTAGAATATGACCACCGTGGTTGGGTGTGGTGGTTCACACCTGTAATCCCAGCAACCCGTGAGGCTGAGACAGAAAGAGAACAAGTTTGAGGCCAGCCTCGGCAAATTAGTAAGGCTCTAAGCAAATTAGAAGATCCTGTCTCAAAATTAAAAATTAAAAAAAGGGCTGATTCTCGTTATTCATGGTGGTGATAATCTTTTTGTTTGTTTGATTTTTTTTTGTACAGGATGTTGAACCCAATGATGCTCTACCTCTGAGCCACATTCCTAGTCCTTTGTATTTTATTTTGAGACAGGGTCTGGTCAGGTTGCTGAGGGCCTTGTTAAATTACTGAGGCTGGCCTTGAATTTACGATCTTCCTGCCTCAGCTTGCTGAGTTGCTGGGATTACAGGTGGATTCAACAGCATCCAGTCTCACTGAATTTTTTAGATGTAGAGAATAATATTTTTTTCAACAAACGTGGGACATTTTTAACCATTATTTTTTCTGTGCCCTCTTCTGGAATGCCTACTATATACACGTTGGTACATATGTTCTACATTTCTCATTTCCTTCATTCCATTTTTCTTCTGTTCTTTATTTTATTTTTCAATTCTGGGAATTGAACCAAGAGCCTCACACACACTAGGTAAGCGCTCTACCATCGAGCTGCATCCCAGATCTCCTTCTCTTCTCTGGATTGCCTAATCTCTCTCCATCCACCTTCAAATTTCCTGATTTTTCTTCTGCTAATTCAAATCACCAGTTCAGTTGCTATATTAAAATTTTCTTCTTATATAATATGCTTTTCCTTTTTTCTTTCTTTTCTCCTTCCTCCCCTCCACTCCACTTTCCCTCCCTGCTTTCTTCCTTCCTGTGCTAAGGATTAAATCCAGAACCTCATGCTTACTAGGCATGTTCTCCGTCACCATGCTGCACCTCTAGCCCAAG